CACTCGAGGTTCCATCCTGGGCAACCTGCCAGAGCTATGCCAGACCTTAGTCGGGCTGCTGGCAGTCCTAGGATATGCAGGCCCAGCTTATCCATTGCTGTGATGGCGGACCATGGCCGCCCCAGTAGCTTACTCCAAATAACAGAAGAACCGTCAACACTAACGCACCCAGTTTTGCCAGGATTCCCTACTCCAATTTTGAGGTTTGGGCACTGCAGCTCTGACTTGGGAGAGCACGGTGGGATGAGACACCTCACCTGTGCAGCACTCTCCAAGCCAGCGGCTATCACTTTGTGGAGTTTATCAACAAGAGAGAGCACATTTCCGTGTCGCGCATTAAGTGGGACGGGCCAGTTGAGGAGGCGCTCCCCTTCTTTGACAAGCCTCGTCCAGGTATGCTGCAAGATGCCAAAAGTTGCATGATCCACTGGGGCAGCGGGGTATTTCTGCCGATGTTCTACTGCCCTGCGACCCATGCAGGACATGTGCTCAGACAGTTGGTCTGTCATGCCGCGCAAAGAGGTGAGAGCGCACAGAGTCAGTCACTAACAGCAAGAAGCTGAGCCAAGACAACACAGGCGAGCGAGGCAACGCAAGGCAAGCAGCCACAAGAAAGAGAAGAAAGAAAACACAACACACACGACACACAGCAAGCAAACACGCAGCACACAACCCGGGGAGCGCAGCACGCCCAAAAACAACGCGCAACAAGCAAAAAACAAAAGCAACCCGCACACGACACCCAGCACAAAAAAAAAAAACGCAAGCACACAGGGCGCAGCAAACACGCAGCGCGCAACACGCGACAAGCAACAAGGGCAGCAAGCACGCAACACACAACAGGCAACACACGCAAGACACGACCAACACGCCACAGGCACGACGCGCCACAAAAAACACACAACGCGCAACACGCAACACAGAGGGCGCAGCAGCACAGCCCACAACCCGCAGCGCGCCGCAGAAACGCAGCCCAAACGCACACAGAAGCGCAAACGAGCACGCACGCGCACACGCACACGCACACGCACAAGCACACGCAAACACACACGCACGCGCACGCGCACAAGCACACGCACACGCACACGCACGCGCACGCGCACGCGCACGCGCGCACGCACACGCACACGCGCACGCGCACGCGCACGCGCACGCGCACGCACGCACAAACCCACACACACACACCACAGACACACACACACACACAGACACACACACACACACACACACACACACACACACAGACACACACACACAGACACACACACACACACACAGAGAGAGACACAGAGAGAGACACACACACACACCCACACACACAAGCACACACACACACAGGAAACACGGCACACAAACAGACAACACACACCACAGACCCCACACACACAGACAAGACACAGGACACAGGACACACACACCAAACACACACACACACACGCGCACAACACACGCGCACACACCACACACAGGACACACCACCACACACACACACACCACACACAACACGCGCACACACGCGCACACACGCGCAACACGCGCCACGAGGCACCACACTGCGCACGACGCCACACGCGCACGGCACACCGCGCACGCAAACACCGCACACACACACAACACCACACACACGTCGCACACATCACCCACACACACACCGCGCACACACACACACACACACACACACACACCGCGCACACACACACACAAGAAGCACAACAACGCACACGCGCACACACACACGCACACACACGGCACCACAACACACACACACAGACCACACACACACACACACACACACACACACACACGCGCACACAAACACAACACAGACAACACACAAAAACACAGACACAGACACAGACACAGACACAGACACAGACACAGACACAGACACAGACACAGACACAGACACAGACACACACACACACACACACCCACACACACCAACGCACGCGCACGCGCACGCGCACGCGCACACGCACACACGCCCACACACACACACCCAAAGACACACACACACACCCAAACACACACACACACACACAAGCACACGCACAAGCGCGCACACACAGAGCACGACACAAAGCACAACACACCACACACAACACACGCACGAGCAAGCCAAAGAAAGCCACAAAAGAAAGCCGCAACAGCCACAGCAACAGGATCGATCGGACTTCTTTTGTGGCAGATATACTGTCCATGTCCCCTCGGTTAAGTCACTGTATACAAGCACACAGCGCACGGCAATTACAAATTTGGAGCTACGCGCACTCGGAGGCGCATAGAGGCATACATCGATGCAATAGCACAAACATGAAACTGAACTTTCTTCAGCCTCACCCAAGGCACTGTAAACTGCGGGCCTCCTGCGGCGATGGGATGTTTGCCCAGGCAGCCCCAATCCGTTTTGCTGCCGGGCCTCCAACAGGCCAAGGATCCGTCCACCTAGAGATGAGCGATTCCATAGCGGCCTTAGCCTCAACAGTCTTGCCTTGTATGATGACCTTGGCACTCTTCAAGTAAATCGCAACCGATCCACTGAGTCCTTGTGGCTTGATAAGTACTCCAATGGTAGTGAAACCGTCCTGCGCAAGCAGTCTTTTGACCTCAGACACATGGGAGTACAGAGGTCTAGCTGGCGGTTCGGGAAATCGGGCAGCAAGCCCAAGGATTTCCTGCAAGCTTGGTGTTCTACCGGCTGCAGTGGGCTTTAGCAACCGTTTCCACCTAGCGGGGTCAACCGCAGAAGTGTTGGATGCAATGCACTTTCTGCTGGTCAGCAAATCATGCTCCGGAATTCCATGTAGGGAGGTCAAGTTGGCACATGTGCTAGGAGTTACGCAGGCATGGCGTGCTCCAACAGACTCCCTCTCCCGGGCTGGGCACTCCATCAAGAGCTGCGTGAGGCCCTTCGTGTGCTCAGAACAGGTTTGCTCTGAGGCGGGCGCCATTGGCTTACAACAAGCGGAGTGGCCAGAAATGGTGACCAGCAAACATTCCATGAACTCATCCCCAACATAACCCACATGAGAAGACAGGCTGTCTAACAAAGCAAGGGCAGTGTGAATGTCACCCTGCTGCAAACATGTGCGGACTTTCAGCAACAGGCTCTTTGCATTGGATCTATAGTGCTCACCAACGTCTTCACCATCTAGTTGCTCGATATTGTCTTCTACGCATGGCAGAGCACTGGGGCAACTCTCATCCCAAGAGCTGGTGTCACTGAGGAGTGGCGACTCGGCAGGCTCTTCGCAACGGGGCTTCTGGCAGCGCAGAAAGATATCCAAGGTTGACTGTGAGAGGTTATCTGCCTTGCGCTTTTTGGATTGAGCCCTGAGCTCATCACACGCGGCCTTTACCACATAGTCTGCGCGAATCCGCCCGACCTGGAGACCTTTCTTCAGGTCCCGCACATAGTCAATGACATTGGTAGCAGGCTCTGAAAGGCCCAAATGTTCTAGGATGTCCGCAGCAGCAGTAGTAAGAATGACTTTCACTCGTTCTTTGTCACTTCCTGCGTCTTGCAGCATGCTAGCAGAAGCTTGCATGATACTCTCCAGAACAGAATCCATGGGTTAGCGAGAAACAAGAGGCGAAAAACTAAAAACCCAAGTGCTTCCAAAGCCAGATGTCAATGGCCACACTGTTGTGGTGAGCATCTGGGCGTGTCAAAAATAATCCAACAAAACTTACAAAATCATGACAAGTTCCACCAGCAACATCTGCGACGTGATCACAAAAAAAAAAACTTGAAATCCCCTGCATGATCCCAAGGCCCTTTGATAGACACAGTTTATACCGCTCACTACAGCGGCCTGTGCATATCTCAGGTAACCCCGGGTCTGGAGCCTAAACACAACGATTAGAATGCATCATCCCAAGGCCCATCGACAAGCGCAGTTTCCACCGCTCACTTCAGCGGCCCGCGCAAGTCTCAGGTAACCCTGGGACTCGAGCCCACACAAACTCACGCGCAAGCATTATCCCAAGGCCCATCGACGAACACAGTTAACACCGCTCACTACAGCGGCCCGTGCCAGTCTCAGGTAACCAAGGGACTCGAGCCAGCAAGGGCACTTAAGTATGCTTCACACAGTCAGGCCACTGAAAACATGGCAGTCAGACCCTAAACCCTACACCCCAGCTCCAGGTAGGCCCGGCAGACGTTGAACTCCGAGGAAGATGGCCCAAACCCCAAACCCCAAACCCAAAACCCTAAACCCTAAACCGCAGCTCAGGGTTTTAGGAGTGAAGGTGTTGCTTGCCTTCAGCAAAGAGCCAGGCTGCGGGTGGTCGCCCAGGCCAAAGGCGGCTCCCCCCTCTAATCTCAACCCTAAAACCTTGAAAACGCAGAGCCGGCTGCTTCCGCAACAGTCTGGCGCATGTTTGGTTCTTGTCCGTGGGAGCCCTATAAACTCTAAACCCTAAACCGTAGCAAGTCCTCTAAGATCCGCCAACTTGCCGTCTGAAGCCCCGGAACCCTAAACCCTAAACCCTAAACCCTAAACCCTAAACCCTAAACCCTAAACCCTAAACCCTAAACCCTAAACCCTAAACCCTAAACCCTAAACCCTAAACCCTAAACCCTAAACCCTAAACCCTAAACCCTAAACCCTAAACCCTAAACCCTAAACCCTAAACCCTAAACCCTAAACCCTAAACCCTAAACCCTACACGCCCTCGTAAGCCCCTGCTGACGCCCCCAGGCCCTGCCTCCACGCGGGGCCAGTGGCTGTGCAGCCAATGGGGCCTGGCGCTTCAATCGCTCCCAAATCCTTGCGGCTGCTTGGCGGCAAGAAGGGGGGGCGAGGGTGGGGTTTAGGGTTTATAGGATTTAGGGTTTAGGGTTTGGGGTTTGGGGTTTGGGGTCTAGGGCCTAGGGCCTAGGGTTTAGGGTTTACGGTTTAGGGTTTAGGGTTTAGGGTTTAGGGCTTTTTTTCGGGGCGTCAGGGTGCTTAGAGTTATAGGGATCTGGTGCATGTCCCTTTGCTGATGAGGTTATGGACGGCAAGTGCCTTCAAGTGGATCTGCGTGACGGGCGCTCCGTCAACGTGGGCAGCTGCACCGGGCAGTCACATCAGCAGTGGAAGGCGATAAGGGGGGGGAGGGGGGGGGGAAGCGCTGATGTAGAAGGGCTTCGTTTTTAGCAAGCTCAGGCGCTTCCCAAAGCGCTGATACAATAAAACACTGCCAGTATGTGAAAATCTTCTGTTAGCCGCACAAGGCCCTAGCATGTCCAGCAGTCCAAACCCTAAACCCTCCGTTATGCTTTTGTATCGTAAACAACGCTGGGGGCGGGAGTCGACTGCAGGACAAGATTCAACATGCTCACCCCCCACACCCCCAGGTTTCATCTCAGCGCCTGGAAGTGTCGTAGTTTAGGGTTAAGGGTTAAGGGTTAAGGGTTTAGGGTTTAGGGTTTAGGGTTTAGGGTTTAGGGTTTAGGGTTTAGGGTTTAGGGTTTAGGGTTCTCCCTCGCTCCTTTTGAAGAATATTCCTTAGTAGCAGGGCAGTGGTGTTCCTGAAGTGAGGGCGCTGCACTGTAACGAAGGAGCCACACGAGTCTTGAAAGTCATAGCAGGGATCCCATCTTGACAACCGAAACATACCTGGTTTAGGGTTTAGGGTTTCGGGTTTAGGGTTTAGGGTTTTCAGTAGGGTTTAGGGTTTCGGGTTTAGGGTCTAGGGTTTAGGGTTTAGGGTTTCGGCAAGGTGGACGGAGCTCTGATCCGGTCGCTCCACCACCCGGGCGAGTGCGTCGACAGCGGGGTGCCAGAGCCTCCTCCGGAGACCACCGGCCGATGTCTGACAGTGCAGGAGCCACGGCTGCACCACCTTAAGCCCTAAACCCTGAACCCTGAACCCTAAATCCTAAACCCTAAACCCAGGAGGCTGAGGGGGGGGGGGGGGGGGTTGAAGATTCGGGATGTCGGGGGGTTGATCTAAGGGCCCTTCTTGGGAATGTATGTAGGTTCTGACGGGTTCACAAAGGAAATATAGTTGCCGCTTTGGGAGACCTGGTGTGTTGATCAACTACCATGTAGGGCTCAGAGTTCGGGGTTTGAACGATACTTAACCCCTAAATCCCTAAACCCTAAACCCTAAACCCTAAACCCTAAACCCTAAACCCTAAACCCTAAACCCTAAACCCTAAACCCTAAACCCTAAAACCCTAAACCCTAAACCCCTAGTAGAGTGTGAACATCATGCTCGTTTGCTCGTTTGTTTTGCTCTGGGTTGATGAGTGCCGTTTAGGCACCAACGTAGGACTATCCCCCCAGACCCTCCAGGATCGAGGCGAGGGTTTAGGGTTTAGGGTTTAGGTTTTAGGGTTTAGGGTTTAGGGTTTAGGGTTTAGGGTTCAGGCTTCAGGGTTCAGGGTTCAGGGTTCAGGGTTCAGGGTTCAGGTTTAGGGTTTCGGGTTTAGGGTGTATAGGGTTTACAGCCGAGGTGGTTGGGCTGCCTGCTGGGTCCGAGGCCAGCAGAGTCAGGGAGTTCTTGCTCTCCATCTTTTTTCTAATAGGGGGGTTAGGGTTTATTGTGTAGGGCGTAGGGTGTAGGGTGTAGGGTTAGAGGTTAGAGGCTTTTTGGATGTACGATAGGTTTCTGTGGATTATTGGCTGCATCGCCGAAGAAGAAAGAAGCAGCAGATGCAACACTTCTAGATCTGAAGCCCCAAACCCGGAACTTGAGCAGTGGCTGACTCGAAAGTAGTCTCTAAGTTTTAGTACCCCCTCCCATCCCTAAACCCTAAACCCTAAACCCTAAACCCTAAACCCTAAACCCTAAACCCTAAACCCTAAACCCTAAACCCTAAACCCGAAACCCCTATATGATCCTGATAAAGCCATTAAGAGCTTAATCTTGACAGGCCCCCAAACCTACCCTAAGCCTAAAGCCTCCGCAGAGGTTGGGCCTGCTTTGGAGCTGTCTGTGCCCCATCGGCGCTTATGCTTAGGATCCTGCAGATGGGTTAGAGTTTTTGAGGGTTGGACAAGACACTAAGAATACAGTAAGTATAAGCTTAACATTCAACCGCGAACCAGAAGAAAGCAACCCCAAGAAAACTCAACCCTGAGCCAGAGCAACGCTAAAGATCGCTTCACGCTAGTCACGGGGGGGGGGGGGGGTTCTTCTTCTTTTGATGAGGGTCATGAAGTGCTTACAGACGGTGAAGGGACCCCATGTAGAACACGCTTCGTGAGCTTCTCGAACCCGGAGTAGGACCTTGTTCCCTTTCTTATGGTTGAGGGTTTCTTCTCAGCCCCTTTCAAAGCCAGAAAGAGTGCCTCTTTATTCCTAGGTTACTCTTGGGTCTAGGCTTGTTTCATGTCTTTACTTAGGATGGCGACGCGTGCGATCCAAGTGCACCAGCCGCTTATCCAGTCCGGTTCGAGGGGGAGCAGATGTACGCAGGACATGGCCTAAACCCTGAACCCTAAACTGCCCTAAACCCTACAATCCCTAAACCCCAAACCCTCACGCCTAAAGGATAAAAGGCCACGGTGTCCGCAGTTTCGAATTCGACTGTCAAGTTGCTGCCAAAGCCCTGTTGACTCTGACTCTATACACTCGCCCTGCACCCTGAACGCTGAAACAGGGTTAGGGTTTAGGGTTTAGGGTTAGGGTTGAGGGTTTCTGTAAGACCTCACTGTTGCAATCTTTCGTGTGCTAACTCTGACCTTAATGCCCCCAGTACCCCATAGTCCCGTGAAAGTGCCAGCGCCAAGCTTCCAAAACTCCCCAGCCCATCCCCCCAAACCCCAACGCTATATGGGGGTTTCCTATACTGGGGGTACCCCTGTGTTACCCCCAAATATAGCCCCTTCAACAAAGGCCCCCTAAGAGGGGCACCCCTTATCATCGGAAACCCTGAAATGGAGGGAGGTTTACGAAAACAAGATATTCAACCCAGGTAGTAGGATTCCCTTGTGATTAGGACCCCAACAAGGTACCCCGAATTTCGGAAGCCCACCATTTCCTAAAACCCTGCGTCTCAAAATGCCAGAGCAGCGTAGAACAACAATGAAGCCATGTCTCTTCCCCTAAACCCTAAACCCTAAACCCTAAACCCTAAACCCTAAACCCTAAACCCTAAGCCCTAAGCCCTAAGCCCTAAGCCCTAACCTAAGCCCTAAGCCCTAAACCCTTTAAACCCTAAACCCTTTAAACCCTAAACCCTTTAAACCCTTTAAACCCTTTAAACCCTTTAAACCCTTTAAACCCTTTAAACCCTAAACCCTAAACCCTAAACCCTAAACCCTAAACCCTAACCCTAAACCCTAAACCCACAAGGAGACCTGTGCCTACGGGCTCTGAGGGGGCGACCGTCGCCTTTTGGGCCCCTGCAGTTGGAAGCTCAGGGCGGGTTTGGGTTTAGTTTTTAGGGGTTTAGGGTTTAGGGCTTAGAGTCATCGAGTTTTTTGTTCAGGCTTGAGGGGGTCTTGGGGGTAAGCGCCAGTGTCTTGCGGTTTGGGATGATTACCGTAGAAGGAACCCTTAATCTTATTCCCCTTCTTCAGCCGTATACATACCTTTTATAGTCCGCATATGCCCAAGTAGGCCCCAAAATAAAACCCAAATAACCCCGAAGGTCCCTTGTAAGGGTCCCTCCAATTGTCCCTAGATTCTCGAATTTCCAGAGTGGGCGCAGGAGATGGGGATGGCGTTCAGGATGCCCCCTTATTCCTAAACCCTAAACCCTAAACCCTACACCCTAAACCCTAAACCCTAAACCCTTTTTTGGGTGGATGGGGTTGGGGTGGCGTTTGGGTGGGGGTGGGGGTGGGGTTTGGGTTGGGCTTGGGGTTGAAGAGCTTCGGGTCAGCAAACGTTGTTGCAGTGCTTGTCGGCCTGGGCTTTCGATCATGAGAAAGAGTCAAAGACTACCCAGAAACTCAAGGGTTTAGGGTTTAGGGTTTAGGGTTTAGGGTTTAGGGTTTAAGAATAGCGGTCCTGGGGGTATTCTCGGGCTTGCCGTAAGCACTCAATCCCTCAACCCTGCAAGTCCCACAAGTCCCATAAGCCCGAAACCCAGACCTAAAAACTCAGCTAGGGTTTCGGGTTTAGGGTTTGGGGTTTAGGGTTTAGGGTTTAGGGTTTAGGGTTTAGGGTTATAGGAGCCCTGAAGTTCTGCAGGCTTTGGGGCAAGCCTCAGCCAACAGGCATGGCAGTGAAGCTTGCCTCGGCAGCTAGGGTTTAGGGTTTAGGGTTTAGGGTTTAGGGTTTAGGGTTTAGGGTTTAGGGTTTAGGGTTTAGGGTTTAGGGGCCTTAAGGTGAACTATCATGGGGGGGGAACCTCGGGGGGGGGGGTTTATTTGCCGGGCTTTGTGATCTTGGGTGCCCAGGTTTTATGTACCGGTTCAGGGTCCAGCCCTAGACCTTACACCTTACAACCTGAACCCCAAAACCCAAAACCCTACACCCTAAACCCTAAACCCTAAACCCTGAACCCTGAACCCTGAACCCTGAACCCCAAACCCCAAACCCCAAACCCAAATCCAAAACCTAAGCTTTGAGTGGCACCCCCAGTTGGATGGCACGCTCTCATAGCAAAAGGCTCTAGCACAAGGCCGAGTTGTAGGGTTTAGGGTTTAGGGTTTGGGGTGTAGGGTTTGGGGTTTAGGGGTTCAGGACCAGGGTTCAGGGTTCAGGGTCAGGTTTAGGATTTAGTGACGTGGGTGCTGCGGTGCTTAGGTTTGGGGGATCTATAAGGGCTTTTCGGGTGCATATATATATATATATAGGTTTTTGTTTTTGGGATACAGAGATTGATAAGGTATGGGCTTCAGAATTTTGTTTGGGGTTGGGGGGGTGGGTGGGCTGTACCCCCTGTGGTTCTGGAGATCTAGAGATATAGGGTTTAGGGTTTTACGTCCCGAAACATAGTGCTTTTAAACCCCCAGACTCTTAACCCTAAACCCTCATACCCTAGCCCTAAACCTTCAACCCTAAACCCTAAACCCTAAGCCCTAAACCCTAAACCCTAAAACCCCCCCCCAAAAGCTCCTGAACAACAGCAAAGCGCGGCTCAGGCTGCTGCTGAACCGCGGCTCCGACTCTCCGTCCCTGTGCCTCGTCTCAGGTCTGGCCGGCATACCCCAGTCGGCTAGGGTTTAGGGTTTAGGGTTTAGGATGTAGGGTTTAGGGTTTAGGGTTTCGGGTCTTGGGGTTTAGGGTTTAGGGTTCAGGGTTCAGGGTTCAGGGTTTAGGCAGGTCAGGGTTCAGGGTTCAGGGTTCAGGGTTCAGGGTTCAGGGTTCAGGGTTCAGGGTTCAGGGTTCAGGGTTAGAGTATATGATCCAGTAACGCAGGCCTAAATTGGTTCCAAAGACCCTGGGAACTCCAGATTCCATGTGGCGGCTTGGGACATTGGGGGGTACCTTACCGGGGTCCCTTGTCATAAGGGGATCCTACTATGTGGGCTCTTTTTTGGGGGCCCCATATGTTCGTAAACCCCCCCATGTCAGCGCCCCGCCCTTAAAGAAGGCAGAGAGCCTGGGAGTGAGCGCTTTACGAAGTTCTGGGTTTAGGGTTTAGGGTTTAGGGTTTAGGGTTTAGGGTTTAGGGTTTAGGGTTTAGGGTTTAGGGTTTAGGGTTTAGGGTTTAGGGTTTAGGGGTTAGGGTGAGAAGGTTCATGGGTACTTAAAAGTACGGTTGCAGGGGCCCTAGATGGGGTTATGACCATGAACCTCCAAGTAGGGGTACAGGGTTCAGGTTTCAGGCTCGAAGGGCTTAGTAGTCCAGGAGCCGTAAGCGAACTACGCCCCCTGAACTCCAAAACCCCAAGGCCTAAACCCTAAACCCCTAAACCCTAATCCCTAAACCCTAAACCCCAAGCCCCCCTAGAATCAAGCCCCAGCCCCAATCCTCCAGCCCGGATCCGTCAACCCTCAGCCCTCAACCCTAAGCCCTAAGCCCTAAACCCTAAACCCTAAACCCTAGCCCTAAACCCTAAACCCTCAGGTCAGCCCAAGTGCAGCTGATCGAGTTGGGGTTTGAACCTTCGCGAAGCTATCATGTCAGAGACCTCTGGGCAAGGAGAGGCTCAGGATTTGGGGTTTAGGGTTTAGGGTTTAGGATGCAGCCATTGTTCCAGGGTTTAGGGTTCCCGGGTTTAGGGTTTAGGATTTAGGATGCAGCCAGGGTTTTGGGTTTCAGCGGTTTGGGGTTTAGGGTTTAGGGGTTTAGGAAGGGTTTAGGGTTCAGGGTTTAGGGTTCAGGGTTTAGGGTCTGGGGTTTTGGGGTTTAGGGGCTTACTGTAGGGTTTAGGGTTTAAAGCCCAGCTCCGGCGAGGAGAGACTTGCCACCAGTGTTTCAGGAGATGACCATGACGGCGGCCAGCGGCGACAGCCTGGCGCCTAGAGGCTGGAGGTTCCGATTTCAGGCTTAGAGGCTTAGAGGCTTAGAGGAGGTTTAGGGTTTAGGGTTTAGGGTTTAGGGTTTAGGGTTTCGGGTTTCGGGTTTCGGGTTTCGGGTTTAGGGTTTAGGGTTTAGGGTTTAGGCTTTAAACCGGTTTAGGGTTTAGGGTTGAGGGTGTGCGGGTTCTAGAGAGGGACGCCTCCCGCAATTCTTCACGACTGAGGTCAGCTGCTACTCCTGACACCACTATCTGTGGGCCAAGAGATGCAAGTTTGAAGAGGCAGCTCGGCACTTACTTTTGCGCACCTGGATTTTTGGGGGGCAAAGTTCACTTCAACTCTGCAGATGAGAGTGGCGGCCTGCTTTGGCTGAGGCCTTGTGCTGCTTGGTAGCCCAGTGGTACCCTTTACCCTTTTTTTGTCCCTTATACAATAGCCAACCCAACAAAGGGTGCCCTTATTTTGAGGTTACTGTGCTACCAAGGCTGGTAGAGCTGGCCGCTTCGGCCAGTGGAGTTTCGGCCCCTGGCCTGACGTCTCCACGACTGCTGGGAGCAAGCCGAGGGCGAGGGAAAAGGAGGCTCCTTGCCATTCCACCGGATTCCAGCGGTGGATGAGCTGTCGGAGATGAAGAGTGCCATCTTGGAAAGCCGTCAAGCACCACACCACCGTCCCTCAACTGGCTCGCCTGGAGGAGCCCCCCCCGGGCGCCGGACGCCTCTGCCCATGGGGTGTGCAATCTGCAGAAGTGACTCCTTTTGCATGCGGGAGGTTTCCCCCTATTTGGGGAAAAATGCCCGTAAGGGACACCGATGTCTTCCGGCACGTTATGTAGAAGTTACGGTCGACGGCGGCGAAGGCTTCCGCCAGCCGGCCTCGCGGGGACGGCGTGCTCAGTGAATTCCTTCCAGAGCCCTTGTCAACCGGTCCTAATGTAACTGCGATGAAGAACAATCACCACGAAAGGGTTTCCCGACCTCTTCGTTGCCCCCTTTCTGCTTCCCGTCCGAGAGCCATGGCCTTCTGGTGTTTAGCAAGGAATGGATTCCTGCAATATCGGGCGCTTAGCAATTAGAATAGGGCTTCGGGCGGTTATTATAGCATGAATATTTAGGGACCATGCGGAAAGAATACTAGCAATTCTTCCGACCCGGCCTTTTTTGGTGCCTCCTTGTGCACACCCCTCTAAACCCGAAAGTTTAGGGTTTAGGGGTCTATAGGGGTTGGGGTTCAGGGCCTAAACCCGAAACCCTACACCCCAAAGCCCAAAACCAGAACCGGCGTGAGGACTTTGTCTCCAAGGGCTGCGCAGACTGGCCCAACTACGACCCAGATGTGTGGGACTCGTGGGAAATCGGACGGGGGGGGGGGGGGTGATCTAAGACAAACTTCCTCGTATCAGCAATGTAATTACTACAGTACTGTGAACACTTTAACCTAAACCCTACCCCCCCCCCCACCCGTTTTAAGAAAGGACCCGAAAGGGCTTCATAATTTTGGTAACTCCCTTCCTCGTTCAGGTTGTCCGGAAGTGCTACAAGGAACTGCGACACCGGCGCACGTACAATGTAGAGGACCTATAGGGCTTGGGGGAGTCACCGCTATTCGGGGCTATTAGGGCCAGGGTGTATAGGGTATAGGACTGAGGCTTGGGATTTCTAGGGTTAAGGCTTTAGGGCTATTTGCGGTTTAGGGCTTCTGGAGTATAGGACGGAGACTTTAGGATTGATAGAGCAAAGGGTGGCGCTCGACGCCGAGGAACTTCTGCAGCCGCCGGTGTGTCAGAGATACTTCTCTTGCCCTTCCGTATAGGGTTTAGGGTTTGGGGTTTAGGGTTTAGGGTTTGGGGTTTAGGTACTGTAGTGTAGTGTTTCTTCGTAGAGAAAGCGAAAACCTGGTCCCTTAAGGGCCCTTTGGCGCTCCTGCTTCCCTACGCCCCACGCTCCACAAGGTGAGTGGTCCCCTTACGCCCACCCACCCACCCAAAGGGGCCACACATTCATCTTTTTAGGAGCCTGAGAAGTTAATCCATGATAAGACTCTATAGACCCTAAACTCTAGACCCTAACCCTAAACCCTAAACCCCAAACCCCAAACCCTAAACCCTAAACCCTAAACCCTAAACCCTAAACCCTAAACCCTAAACCCTAAACCCTAAACCCTAAACCCTAAACCCTAAACCCTGCGAAAGAGGAGCACTTTGAGCTCATCCAAGCCTTGGTGAAGGCTCTGGCCAGTGCCGGGAACACCGCGGCGGGCCCCAGAATCCGAGCTTGACCTGGGTGGCTGGCAGGGTTTAGGGTTTAGGGTTTAGGGTTTAGGGTTTAGGGTTTAGGGTTTAGGGTTTAGGGTTTAGGGTTTAGGGTTTAGGGTTGCAGGGTTAGGGTTTGGAGTTTCGGGTTTAGGGTTTAGGGGTTCAGGGTTCAGAGCTAGGGTCTTTGGTTTAGGGTTTGGGGTGCTTTGCATTCCCAGGTTCATCTGGGATCTGGCTGGTAGAGGTAGGGGAAAAGCAGGATTGGACACTAGGTAGGCTGCCTCACGGTTTAGGGTTCAGGGTTCTGGGTTTAGAGTTTAGGGTTTCATGTTGGTTTCCGGCCGCAGCGTTTTAACTTCTTGCGCCCTGGGCGTGGGAGATCACCTACATGCGACCCATTGTGCGGTTTAACCCCTCAAGAAACATACAGCTAAACCCTAAACCCTAAACCCTAAACCCTAAACCCGAAACCCCAAACCCTAAACCCTAAACCCTAAACCCCCCCAGCCCTCAACTTGAAGCCCTAGAAACCCTCAAGGCACCAGCTCCCAAAAGCCCAAAGCAAAGCTGGAAAAGCTAAAATCCCTACTGGTCGGGGGCCTTCATACTTAGAATAGGGTTTTGGGGGAGTTCTTATAGTACAACTTATAAAGGGACCATCAGGGAATACCATTAGTAAGTATTCCGGCCATCTTCAGCAACCTGAGGTCCTGAGACCCGAAGCAACCTGCCAGCCCTGAAACACCTACCAGAGGGGCTTAGGGTTTAGGGTTTAGGGTTTAGGGTTTAGGGTTTAGGGTATACGGGTCGGAAAGAATTACGAAACTCTTCCTTTGCACAGAATCATACTAGAATATCCACCCGAAACCCTATTCCATTCTCTAAGGCCCTCTATGAAAGCTCAAAGCCCCTTCACCCCACAAATCTTCCCTAAAACGCCCTAAACCCTAAACCCTAAACCCTAAACCCTAAACCCTAAACCCTAAACCCTAAACCCTAAACCCTAAACCCTAAACCCTAAACCCTAAACCCTAAACCAACCCTAAACCCTAAACCCTAAACCCTAAACCCAGCATCCAATTTATTTCACCTGATGTCTTCTTTCCGCTCGTGCCCTGGGATGGCGGTGCACTTTGAGACCATCCCGGAGGAGGCGCGTTTGAGGGTTTTGGGTTTAGGGTTTCGGATGCTTAGCATGTGTAGGGTTTGTAGGGGTTTGTTGCGGGACTGGAAAGGTTTGTGCCATGTGTGGATATGGGGTTTTGTTGTGCTTTACAGTTTTTACTATTGTTATTGTACTTTTTTCATGCTCTGCGTCTGTTAGGGCTGAAAATGCTGATAGCGGATACAAGGCTTTGTTCAGGTTTTTTTGGTGAGGAGCTTAAGAGGCTTGAGAACAGAGGGGTTCCAAGTCCTCTTTTGTTCTAGCGGTCCCTGCACATGGTCCCCTAGCTCCTCAAAGGGGTTCTGTAGGGTATACGCGGGATATATAAAGGGGTCCCTTTGCAAGGCATGTCACTACCCCTAAACCCTAAACCCTAAACCCTAAACCCTAAACCCTAAACCCTAAACCCTAAACCCTAAACCCTAAACCCTAGACCCCAAAGATTTCTTTTTGTGGTTCATCCGAGTTCATCCCCAGGTTTTTGGCTAAACCCCCCCACCACCCCCGCTCTTGGTCCGGGCCAGGCGGAGTCATGGACCGAGTCCTGGCGTCGATGGCTTTGCACCGCCTGCCAGGGATGCCTCCCACTAGGCAGGTTGGGAAGTTGCTCCTGCGGTTTGGGGTCTAGGGTCTAGGGTCTAGGGTCTAGGGTCTAGGGTCTAGGGTCTAGGGTTTAGGGTCTAGGGTTGAGGGTTGAGGGTTTGCTGTGATGTGGCGCAGAAGCTGTGAAGGTTGGGATGCAGACTCGCCTCGAAAGCTTCGTGAAAATGCGAAGGGCGGGCTGCAGCGGGCTCGTAAGCTGGTCCCGGTACCAGCCCTACACCTACTGCCCCTTTATGGCCCTAACGCCCCTCAAAGCCCCAAGATTCCAACGTCCCAAATCATCCTGAATCCTAAACCTTCATCCTAAACGCTGAATCCTCAACCCTAAATCCTAAACCCCAAAGCCCCGAACCTCCTAGCACTCCGAGACCTGGAGGCCTGGTCCAGGGCTGCTTGGGCCTGGGCGCCCGCACGCAGCGGCTGTCAGTGGGCCTCTTGCAGCAGGTCTCCCACATGGGCGAGGCGAGTAAGGTTTGGGGTTGAGGGTTTAGGACCTCGGGATGAGGGCTTAGGGCCTGGGGCTTGGGGCTTAGGGCTGAGGGCTGAGCTTAGCGCTACGTATGGGGAGGCGAGGAGGTTTGAGGCTGGAGGGGTTTAGGTGTGGTGTCCGGCTTGCAGAGGGTCTTTGAGGAGCCTTTAGAGAGCCTCTGACGGTGAGGCGTTTGGGAGCTTCGGGTTTGGGAGTTGGGCCTCGGCACAATACTAGCACGAACCGACAATGTACGTGAGCAAAGGCAAACATTCAACAAGTAAAGTTACAGGTCCTAAAAACCCGTAACAGGGCCTTGGCAGTTTGGGGCTCTAGAAGTTTGGGTTTTTAGGGTTTAGGGTTTTAGGTTGTGGTGCTATTCTGTTTGCTTTTCGGGCTTTAGGGATTCGGCTTCTGTGGGTCATGGGCATAAAGGGCTTCAGGGGTGTAGAGGTGGAGAACTATGAATGCTGTGGAGGTTCGCAGACCGCGCTGAGTAGGACCGTCTGGTTCAGAAGCATGTAATGATAATGTAGGGTTTGAACCCTCAAGCCTCCAGCCCTAAAACCCTAACGCGGGGACCCCAAAAACCCTAACGCCATAAACCCTTCACCCTCAACCCCAAAACCCTACAACCTAAACCCCACGGGTTTACCCTAAACCGTTTACCCTCAATCCTGAAGCCCTAAACCTTATGGCTTTACCATAAACCCTCAACCCCAACACCCCAAAAACCCTATGGGTTTACCCTAAACCCGAAAACCCTAAAGCCCAAGAAACCCTAAACCCTAAACCCTAAACACCAACCCCTTAAAACCCAAAACCCCTCAAAGCCCTTAACCCTAAACTTCCCGAAACCCCAACCCCTGAAACCTAAACCCCAAAACCCCAAACCCAAGGCCCGAAATCCCTTTGACATCCTAAACCCTAAACCCTAAACCCTAAACCCTAAACCCTAAACCCTAAACCCTAAACCCTAAACCCTAAACCCTAAACCCTAAACCCTAAACCCTAAACCCTAAACCCTAAACCCTAAACCCTAAACCCTAAACCCTAAACCCTCGCGATCTCCAGGAGGCACCGGACGCGGCACCCCAGGCGGAGACAAACCGTGGAGTGGAAATGAGCCCTCAAACGGGCTTCGGGGGTTAGGGGTTTAGGGGTTTAGGGGTTTAGGGGTTTAGGGGTTTAGGGGTTTAGGGGTTTAGGGGTTTAGGGGTTTAGGGGTTTAGGGGTTTAGGGGTTTAGGGGTTTAGGGGTTTAGGGGTTTGGGGGTTTGGGGGTTTGGGGGTTAGGGATGTTTAGGGATGTTTAGGGGTTTAGGGTTAGGGTTCAGATACCTTAATAAATAGGGATGAGGGGTTAGGGTTTCCTGTGTATATTTAGGCCCCCATGAACCCTAAGCTCGGTATCATCTACCCTGAGCTACGAAGGCATACGGACCGTAGCAGGCCCTTTCAGGGGGATATTTGAAGGTTCAGGGTTTAGAGTTTAGGGTTTTAGGGTTTTGGGGTTTAGGGTTTAGGGTTTAGGGTTCCTCAACAAACGAAGTGGCTCGCGGTTCAGTTGTGCGACACGTGACGCACGCTCCGTTTGTTCTTTATGGTTACACGTCGGCCTTTTTAGGGGATGCGTGAGGGGGCATTGCCTGTGCACTGTGATTTGTTGAAAAACCACCGGATGATTGAACATTTAGGGTTTAGGGTTTGGGGTTTAGGGTTTAGGGTTCTCCGAATCATGGCCACTTATCGGGTACCCTATGAATGTCCGGGGCCGCCTTGTCTTAGCGACCCCCAAGCGGAGCCCTGAGTCAGAGACGTGACCACATGATATCTGCCTACGCCTCTGGAGTACAAAGAGTACAGACCGCACAGAGATCCCGGCTTGGCTATGAGTACACTCTACACTTTGCACTTTTTGGGCTTAGGGTTCAGGGTTTGGGGTTTAGGGTTTAAGCACCGAAAGGGCTAAAGGATAACTACCCAGCCCCTAAGATAAGGACGTTCCTTTATGGGGGTTTACGAAAATGCACGACCCTAATATAAACCCCCAAAGAGTAGGCCCCCCAATAAGGTACACCTAATTTTGGAAACAGGGTGGATCCCCCCTGGGTAACCCAACGTTGCCCAGTCTAGGGTTTAGGGTTTCGGGTTTAGGGCTTAGGGTTCAGGGTTTAGGGTTTAGGGCTTAGTGTCAGAAGAACTGAAGGAGTACTTTCTTTTTCTTTATTTTTATTATTTTTTTTTTTTTGGGGGGGGGGTTTCGGAACTGAGCAACTAAGAATTGCTTTATCCTACAGCTCTTCGTTCGCGAATTGGCGATCCGCGGAGTGCGTTTTTAGGTTTAGGGTTTTAGGGTTTAGGGCCTAGGGTTTAGAGTTTAGGGTCTCTGAACCCAGGGTTCCTTAAGCTCAGTCCTTCTTTTCAATGGCGGCAACGAAAGGCCTCCCGATTTGGTTGGCTGGGGCCCCGGCATCTCGGCTGAAGGTGCAGTTTAGGGTTTTGGGTTTAGGGTTTAGGGTTCAGGGTTTAGGCCCTTCGCGGCGCAAGCCCTCAAGCTTACTATAGGGGCTAAAATTGGTTTTTTCTTCTTTCTTTATATTATACAAATATATATATATATATATATATGTTTTTTTTTTTTTGGGGGGGGGTATTCTAGTATAAGTATAAGGGGCCACAAGGGAATATTAGTAATTAGTCCGACCCCTATGTTAAGCCCCCAAATGCCTACACAGCCCAAGAGCTTCTGTCGCTAAAGTCTATAACTTTAAAGCTTGTACGCAGCCGCCCCCCTACACGCTAAACCCTAAAGCCTAAACCCTAAAACCCTAAACCCTAAACCCTAAACCCTAAACCCCAGAGTATAACTCTGTCGCAGCTAAGCCCTTCCCACAACCCTTAGCCCTAAAGCTCAGGTTAGGGTCTAGGGTTTCGTGTTTCGGGCTTAGGGTTGCAGATGAGGCATGAGTTCATCAACGACCTCCTTGCGGCGCAGTGGCCATACATCTCGGATTGGTTCGACGAGACCATGCGGACGAGTTGCGAGCCAGCGTTGCAGTCCGTGATGCCGACGGGCAGCTCGTCTGACAGGGTTTAGGGTTAGGGTTTGGGGTTTAGGGTTTAGGGTTTGGGGGTGTGTACGGTTTGGAGTTTAGGGATTATATAGGCTTTTAGTGTTTCTAAGGGGGAGGTGTAAGGTCTAGGGGTTACATAGGGTTGAGGGGTCTCTGTTGCTCTCTTAATTAGACTCCCCACTCCTCGTATGGAAACAAGGAAAGACTTCTCTCTTCGTGTCGCCATTGAATAAGGGTTTAGGGTTTAGGGTTTAGGGTTTAGGGTTTAGGGTTTAGGGTTTAGGGTTTAGGGTTCAGGGTTTAGGGTTTAGAGAATAAGGCCCAGAAAGCCGCATTCAGAAAACCGCACCTGTCAATGCGGACAAAATCAAAGGTGCTTGCTTTTGAACTTGGAAAGAGAGCCCGGAGCGCAAAACCCACAGTGTTTGATTGTTTGTGCTAATTTTATAGAGAATGTGATAGAAAGTGGGTTGGGGTGCCTCTAACTTTAACCGTGGCCCAGAAAGCCCGTTCAGGCGCCGCGCCTGCCAATGCGAAAAAGAATCAAAGGTGCTTGCTTTTCCACTTGGAAAGAGAGCCCGGAGCACGAAACCTACAGATGTTGTTTTTTGAGCTAATTTTGATAGGCAGTTTGATAGAAAGTGGTTGGGGTGCCTCGAACCGTGCAATAGGGAAACAAACAGAGTATCTGTCTTTGTCTCCTTTGAATAAGGCCCGGAAAGCCCGTTCAGAAAACCGCGCCTGCTACTTCGAAAAAAATCAAAGGTGCTTGTTTTTCCACCTGGAAAGAGAGCCCGGAGGACAAAAACCACAGTTTTGATTTTTGGGGCGAATTTGCAGCCTGACACGAAAGGAAAATACTACGAACGTTACTCCAACAAGTCAGTGCCCACTCATTTTCTTAGCCAGACAGCCGCTTCAAATCCCGACTCCTAGAAAATCCAGACCTCTGACATTCTGAAACAATGTGTTCAGAAACACAGCCTGGACTGTAGTCATACATCATCATTCATTGCCACACGTAGTCAGGCATGGTCAGACATAATGATGCATAGTCGCACACAGCTAGACATAGTCATGCATAACCATACATAGTCAGACATGCACACATGCATGCATTCAGGCATATATACATGCAGGTACACATGCATACGTACATACAGACATACATACATATACACATACACATACACACATACACACATACATACACACATACACACATACATACATACATACATACATACATACATACACACATACACACATACACGCATAACAGATACACACATACACACATACACACATACACGCATAAACACATACACACATACACACATACACATATGCATATACATATGCATTTACATTATACATATACATACGCATACATATATATCTATATATACATGTGCACACACAATACATACACATACGCATGTACATATACATGCATATATATATATATGTGTGTTTTGTATGTATTTTCACACACATATACGCCTACACATGCACACATACACATACACACATGCACATACACATACACATACACATACACACACACACCTTTACTTTTACATATACATGTACATGTACATATACATATACATATACATATACATATACATGTTCCTTTACATTTTCATATACCTCTACATATGCATATACATATACATATACAGAAACATATACATACTCACATGCAGCCATACAGCTTGATGACATCCGGAGCTTGCAGTTCTTGGTTGGTCGCCATGAAAAAGTGCAAGGCAAGTACGACTGCCTGGTCGAATTTGGTTCGACCGCTGGAGGGACTTGTGCCTACCATGTTGACCTTTTCGACGCGCCAGTTGTGGCCACCATTGAGTACTCGACTCAGAGCCTGGCGTTGTTTGACAACCGTGACTGGTTGGCAAATTTTGGGAATCGAGTCGTTGCGCAGCTGTGAGTTCTAGTCCAGCATTTTCTGGAGCTTACGTTGCCGAGCTGAATGATGATAATCAATACAATCAGTAGCATTAGTCACTAATTCATTCAACTGTTAAGTTTCCAATAAATATATATTATTATACAAATATAAACGGCGAAGATTTAAATTGTGAGAAGAGGCCACGCAATGGTTCATACCCAACAGCCATTTTCTTAAACCCTTGACAATTGATATGAGAACTACCTTGGTATAACTCAAAACTTAAATTATCAATGAGGATATCTTCGGGACGAAAAGTTTTTAATTATATATATATATAAATAGCAGAGATATTTTTAAATATACTTTGCACTTATATTTAATCAAATAGTTCAAAATTATATGAATTGTCATTACTAGTGTTCTTCTTCTTTTTACCGTTCACCGCCACTGCTTCATCTACTTCATTATTCTCAACGAACCTTCTTATCTCTTCGTAAGCATTTTGTTTAAATGTTATTTCTTTTTTCAGTTTCTCCATTTGTTCGTACGTAGTTGCTTTCTCATGATTTATAATTTAGAGTATTTAATCAAACTGTGGTAGAAACTCTTCTTCGGTTACAGGTAGATTTCCTACATTGCCTATATCTTCATAAGAGTGATTTTGTAGAGGGTCTAATGTTGGTTTATTCAATGTTATACTCCCTTTATCAAGCATACTAACAGGGTCTCCTGCTGTTTGTGTTCTTCAATTTGTCCCCGTGTCTTCTGGTCGTTGTCCTGATACAAAAGGAGAGCCAAAACTACGACGTCTGAATACGTTCCCATAATCATTGATTGTTTTTTGTCCCACTGCTGAACCTGGACCTAAGCTATGACTGAAAATATCAGTAATTCCAGTCAGTGTTTTTTAACATCTATTTCAGCAAAACCGTCTCGAATGAACATATCAACATCTTTACAATGCTCAGTCTGTTGCGTCTTATATTCGGGTAGTTTTAAATCATCATAAACATCTCTACCGCTTTTAGTCCGAGCAATGTATAAAATAGAGCCTTTTTGATATATCCCGTCAGGAAAGCCATACGCTAGTTTAAGTCCTTGCGTGTCCATTAAAAATGTCTCTGTCCCGGCTGATTCGTCTCTAACTTCATCATGTAGTCTGCTTCTTGTGTTAGATGCTGTGTATAAGACCACTTCATGTCTTCTTTGATGTTTATGCATTATAAAATAGTTTATACGTGTATTAATGTTAAAGTTCAAGAATGTGTATATTTATAGTTTTTATAGAGTGAATAACAGAGATTCGCAAGCCGCGCAAAACCAAATCCACAAACGGATTCTGTTTGTAGAGTTGTTTCGGGTTTCGTCGCCGGGGTTTAAGTGAAGGTTTCAACGCCGCGCAAGACCAAAGCGCCGCCGGTCTTCACGCGAGGGATGCCCACAAACAGACATGTCGGGGTGTTGGGTTGTTGTCTAAACCGTAAACCCAAAACCCTCACCCCCCGAAAACCCTAAAACCCTAAACCGAGGAGGTCAAGAGTCCTTGGAGACGATAAGGTGGAGTTTCCGCAGGTGTAAGAATGCAAGAGGGTATAGGGTTTAGGGTTTAGGGTTTAGGATTCCGGTTTATACGGTGGACATGGAGCTCTTGACGCCCTTCTTGACAGGCATCACCATCTGCTTCGGTGCCCCTTGTCTGCACTATCTAGGACCAAGAGTAGGCCCCTATTCCCTTTTCCAGGGATTACCAGGTTCGCTTCTAAGCCCCTTTAAACCAAAAAGGGTGCACTTCTTCTTCCTCGGTTGCTTTTGGGTAATATTCCTCTTTTTTGAGGGTCGGGTCGATCTTGCATCCATTCCTTGGGACCAAATGAACCCTAAAAGGTTTTATGGGTTTATGGTCTGCATACCAGAATGGGGATTATCGTCGTAGCAGGGTAAAGGATCCCAATTTTGGGGTTCATTTCGTCCCCAAGGGTTCTGCGGGCGAATCCGCAAAACCCGAAACAAACCAAAGCCCCAAACCCCGAAACCCTAAACCTTAAACTCTAAACCCTAAACCCTAAACCCTAAGCCCTAAACGTTTAGTTCAATCAGTTCAGCAGAGGAGAAGTGCACCCTGGGTACGAAGCCTGCAGAGCTTCAGAGCATCCAGGCCAGCAAGTTCTGCGAGGCCCGAAGTTGGGTAGGGTTTAGGGTTTAGGGTTTAGGATTTAGGTTTCGGGTTTTGGGTTTTGGGTGTAGGCATAATATGTTATACAAGTGTCTCAACAGATTGTGAGCAGGACCCAGTGGAGGAGTCTACAACCATCCGCCTGGATGCGCAGCTGAACTACGTCGGCGACTGCCACGTCGACATCTCTTGTACTGTTGGTAGTTTAGTGGCTCGGTTCTGCAGACCAAGTTTAGGATTTAGGGTTTAGGGTTTAGGGTTTAGCCTTTTTGAGACTTGCTTTGCTTGATGGCCATGAGGCCTCCCAGCTGTGCAGCGTTTAGGGTTTATTGTAGGGTTCAGGGTTTAAGGGTTTAAGGGTTTAAGGCTTTTCTAGGCGTTTTGGGCAGGCTTTAGGGTTGTGGTTGTTTTTTTTCTACCAGGTGCTCACACAACTGCAAGTCACGGGCGAGATCGTGATTGAGCTGGTGAGGCTTCAGAAGCACCCTCCCTGGTTTAGCGGGGTGCGGATCTACTTCTCCAACCGCCCAAAGATCGCACCCTGGCGAGAAGCTTTTGTGTGAGATGAGGTTGCAGCATCCGAAGCTTTACAGCTGTAAACGTCCAGAAGGCCGAACCATTCTAATGTGACTGCCTAATGTCCATCGACAAACGCTGTACATCACCACTTCGCCCCTCAACGTCTTTCAGCTTACTTCAAACTCGAGACACGCCAACACTTATCTACCTAGGGGACCAGATGAACCCCAAAACGGGCTTAGCCCCAGTGGGGATTTGCGTCGCTCAGGATATATTATGATCCCTATTTTCGGGTTCGCTTGGTCCGCAAGGTAGGCCAGAATCAGTCTGCAAGCATCCGCAAGGGGCCTTTTGTAATGGTGAGCTGCGGTTTGCGTTTTTCGGGGTATGATGCGGGACCTGCTTTCGTGTGTTCCTCCCTCCCCTCCCCGAACGCTCGAAACTGGAATTGTCTCTCTTGAAACGGTCCCGGTAATTCACATGATTTTAATGAGGTTGTTATGAATTTGAAAGGGACAGCGAGGCCCTTCAATTGATTTTAAAGGCACGAAGTGTGCCCGCTCGCCTCGCATGTGCATTCGCACATACACCCTACACGTGGGGCGAGGGGGGGAGCGGGGGACTTCTCGAGATATGGGTATAGGGTCTCTGGAGTTCTAGATTATAGGGTTCAGGAAAAACGGCTCGAAATGAATTAGGAAGTTGTACAGTTTCGGATCTACGGTTTCAGGTCCCTTCTATCAGGAATCTGTCGTTAAACAGGGCCTCTGAAGGGGTCCCGGCCGGAAGCTCCTAGAACCCTCCAAGACCTGACACCCTAAACCCTAAACACTAAAACCTAAACCCTAAACCCTAAACCCTAAACCCTAAACCCTAAACCCTAAACCCTAAACAGGTGAATCCGTACCCTGAACCTCGAACGCAGAGGGCCCGAACGTCTCAGCTCCCGGCCGAGGACCTGGTGGTCCAGACGGAAGTCCTGGGCCTGAACGCCAACTTCGAGTTCATCAAGCAGCCAGTGCTGAGATTAGGGTTTAGGGTTTAGGGTTTAGGGTTTAGGGTTTAGGGTTTAGGGTTTAGGGTTCGAACCGTCCTAAACTAGGGTTTAGGGTTCAGGGTTCAGGGTTTAGGGTTTAGGGTTTTTCGGGGCTCATAATTCGTCCTCTTATCTGGTGTCCTTGGAACCTATTCGCAAAAACCCCTATTCCTAGGGCCGCTACGAGGGTGGTATAAGCAGACATCGTGCCTGGAACCCTAGACCACTCAGCCCCCGGGGAAGGTTATGGGGTTATGGGGGGGGGGGGGGGCTTAGGGTTTTGTTTTGGGGCATTGGGGTTCAAAGGTTCAGGGGTTTAGGGGGGTTTTGGGGGTTTTAGGGGCTTTACGGGGGCTTAGGGGAGTTTAGGGGGTTTAGGGGTGGTGAAGGGAGGGCCTTCACTCACCTTTCTTTTGGAGGGGGGCCAGGTTGCCTTGCGGACCCCAAGATGCAACTGAAAGGGCACTTTGTTTGTTCCTAGGTTCCTGTCGGGATGCGGAGACTTAGCCTCTTGCCGAAAGAGGGTTGTTCAGGCTCCGAGAGCTGAGGTGGCAAACATACACTCCTACACCCTACACCCTAAACCCTAAACCCTAAACCCTAAACCCTAAACCCTAAACCCTAAACCCTAAACCCCAACCTAGAAAGTCATCCCTGGTTGCTCTTAGCCGACTCGATAGTTTGGGGCGAGTTCAACGGAGCAGGGTTTAGGGTTTAGGGCTTCGCGTTTAGGCTAAATGAAACGGTTAAGGGTACGTAAGAATCACTGCAAGCTGGCACCTATACGGCTGAAGACCCGCTGTACTGTGTCCTTTTTTGTTAGCCTCTTTGTCTCTCTTTCCCCAACCCCTACACCCCTAAAGCTCGAAAACCCCTACAAAAAAGTCAAAGCTCTAGAGTCCTGGACCCCCCCAAAATTCTGAATCAACCTTTGGAAGTTGGAACCTACTGGTTCTTAGTAGGGAATGAGGGAGTGAGGTACCCTTATGTAACTCCCTAAAGGGTATACCTAGCACATATATATATATATGTCTCTATCTATCTACATCTATCTATATATATATATATGTATGTATATATGATTTGTATTCGTCTATGTCTATGTATATGTATATGCATATGTATATGCATATGCATATGTATATGTATATGCATATGTATATGTATATGTATCTGTATATTGGGGATATGTAAGGTAGCGATTTCCCCCGTTCTGTACTCAGAACCAGTAGGAAGCAGCACCGTTTCGACATAAAGCAAGGCAGAAGTTGGTAACTGCCCTGGGCGACGTCATCGCGAGCCAGACAGTTCTGCCCAATCGCTTTTGCGCGACTGGGTCTCCTTTAACCATTTTAGGGTTGTTCGGGTTTAGGGTTTCGGGTTTAGGGTTTAGGGTGTATGGTTTACCCTTGTATACCCTTATAAACCCTTAGCTCCTGAATCGCCTCGATCCCTTGAATCCCCTAAAGCTCCCACAGACCTCAAAAACCTTAGAATCCGAGAGGTTTGTGGAGGCCCCCAGAGCCTAAACCCTAAACCCTATAAACCCTTAACCCTAAACCCTAAACCCTAACTAAACCCCCCCTCCCGAAGTCCGCTGTGACCCCGCCTGACTGAGACTTGCCTCAAATCAGCTAGAAGTTTAGGGCTTTGGGGTTTAGGGTTTGGGGTTTAGGGCTTAGGGGTTTAAGGTTTAGGGGTTTAAGGTTTAGGGTTTAGGGTTTTAGGGTTTAGGGCTTGGGGGAAGCCCGAGATTCCCATCGCCGACGCCATCAGCGAAGTCGACCTGCGGACACCAACTCCCCAGGGCGTCGTGCGGCTGGTGGTGGTGGAGCCTTGGTTTAGGGTTTAGGGTTTAGGGTTTAGGGTTTAGGGTTTAGGGTTTAGGGTTTAGGGTTTAGGGTTTAGGGTTTAGGGTGGGGTGTGTGCGTGTGAGAGGAGAGAGAGAGAGAGAGAGAGAGAGAGAGCGAGAGAGAGAGAGAGAGAGAGAGCGAGAGAGAGACAGAGAGAGAGTGCATCCATGAGTGCGAAAATGAACAGTCAGCTGATGTGTTCACACCCCAGTCGGTGCAGTCTATCTCAAGAGCCCTAGTCGTAAACTCAAAGCCAAAAGTTTCAAACCTGCCAGGGCACCTCAGGTGGCTCCGCGCATGTTGCTGTAGGTACATTCAGCTGAGGCCTCCCCTAACTTTAGATCCTTACCCAAAGTGTTTGCGGACCTAGACCAAAACCTCTGAGCCTTGACTGAACCCTAGAAACCCCAAACTCCAGTAAAACAACCTCCCTAACCCTAAAACCCTGAACCCCGAACTCTGAACCCTGAACCCTAGACGCCAGATGAAACCCTGAGCCCTGAAACCCTACGGAGGAGGCTAGGGGGCTTCCAGATCCGGGGCGCTCCCACTGGTGCCTTGGCTCTGAGAGGGGCGTGGGGTTTGGTGGTAAGCGGGGGGATTCGGAGGAGGGGGAGAGGGTTAGGGTTTCGGGTTTGAGGGTTTGAGGGTTAAGGGCTTGAGGTTAAGGCTTTTGGAGGGTTTGGGGTTTTGGGGCTGTGGATTTGTTTTGGGTTTGGTGGCTACTCGGGGGTTTGGGCATTAGGGCTTGGCTAACAGAGCGGAAGTTAGGTTTTGGGGCTCATGACTTTTGGGCTTGGGGTTGGGGTTTAGGGAGTTGGTTCAAGGTTTGCTAGCTTAGGGTTGTGCGGGTTTGGGTTGTTTTTTGGGTGCTGGGTGAAGCCCTGCTCTCTCTCTCTGCAAGGCCTGCACCCTAAACCCTGAACGCTAACCCTAAACCCTAAACCCTAAACCCTAAACCCTAAACTCTGGACCCTCGCCTTCAGGCACAATGTGCTGCGGCCCTTTCTTGGCTCCCGTGGCGTTCCCGAGGGCCCCGACGTCCATCCCTTTGTGGAGGCCAGGGTCAACGAGGGCATATGCCTTAAATTGGGTCCAGGGTTTAGGGTTTAGGTTTAGGGTCTATAGGGTTTGGGGTTTAGGGTTTAGGGTTGCAATTGGGGGGGGGGGGGGGGGGGGGGGGGGGTAGGGTTTGAACTTGTATGTGAAAAGAAGGCTATGCACGGTGCGTCGTTCGGAGGTGGAACGGAGGGGACGAGGGGGGGGAAACCAAATATGCGCTTGTGTATATGTACATACACATATATACATATAGGTGTGCAGTGTAAAACTACACTCTGTTGTCATGGGCTGTGCTATTAAAGCCACGTCAAAACTAACCAGGGCTTTTTTTATGTCAGATTTCAGATGTTGTTCCTGAACTGTATGTCATGTATAGCATAACGAAAAATCGGCGACCTTCTTGTTGTGTGGCACGAAAGCAAATGTTTGATGGACCTTTTAGGTCTCACATGATACAAAATATCGTGAAGCCTTCTTATATAACCATTACATCTAAAAATGAAGATAAAGAATCTCATGCAATGTATCAAATTCGTGAATAGTGAACATAATGAAGATAATGGAAAATATGAACACTAGGGCCATAAGGATACATTGCATTACAAAATGTAGTAACTATACTGAACATAGTGAACCTAATATCGTGAACATATTGTCATATGTTGCAGTAATTGGGGTATCTATCTTAGATATACGAAGTGTATGATTTGTACCAGTTATTCAGTTATATCGTTTATACAATTCGATTCTTTCTATTCGTGATATTAGCTCCAGAAATTATGTTAGTTTTATGATTAGGGTCATAAGGAGAATTTGAACACTGATTATACTGGCTGTATACTGAACAGGATACATTGAGATTGATGCCTTGTATTAACCAAACATCCTAAACGTCCTGAGCCCTTTATGAAGCAGGGTGTATAGGACTGTTGTTGATGAGTAGTGTATCTAGGGTTCCTTCTCATTGCTTGTGAGTGTATATATATATATATATACATTCAGAAATATTGGGTGTCCTTGTGCGAATACTGGTAATGACAGACCCCAAACCCTCAACCCTAAACACCACTTCCCGGGATGGTCCCCGTTCTACTAGCAGTCCTTAATGGGCATTATACTAGCGGGTGCTATCATCCCTATTAAGGACGGTTAGTATATAAGGGGGCATCCCTAACTCCTATTTCCTTAAACCCTAAACCCTAATCCCTAAGCCCCAACATCCCGAGTCTTGTGACGCTCGGTCGGGGAGGTGGCCATTGGCGCGCAAGTTCAGCGGACGCTGGGTGGAGGGTGTAGGGTTTAGGGTTTAGGGTTTAGGGTTCTGGGCTCAGGGTTTAGGGTTTTGTGTTCAGGGGTTGGGCAACCTCCCTAAGAGATTTAGAGCTTTAGGGTTCTAGTGACCCACATAAACCCTCAAGCTCAGATCCGAAACCTTGAGTTGCAGAATGGGTCCTTAGAAAGGTCCCGCTTCTGGCGAGCTTAGGGTTTAGGGTTTAGGGTTTAGAGTTTAGGGTTTAGGGTTTAGAGTTTAGGGTTTAGGGGTTTAGGGTTTAGGCTGCAGGCTGCTTGGGGAGGGTTCTTAGTGCATCTTTGTGAGCAGTTGGGGCGGGCTTTGGGCAATGATTGCTGCCTTTGTTGGCACGTTGTTGTTTGTTTGTTTTTTTTTTTTTTTTCCATGGGGTCCGGTTGAGGGGCTACGTCTTGCCCCAAACCCTCATGCCTTAAAACCCTAAACCCCTAAAAAAGCCCTAGACTCCCCAAGCCCCTGAGGCGATCATAGGTTGGGGGTTTAGGGTTTAGGGTTTAGGGTTTAGGGTTTAGGGTTTAGGGTTTAGGGTTTAGGGTTTAGGGTTTAGGGTTGGGATGTTCCTCCTCCATCGGGATCATAACCTTCAATCCCTGCACTTCATCCCAAGCCCTTATTAGTATAAGCCTTTTTCGGCCCTATAAAAACCCGATAAACCCCTTTGAAAACCCTAAACCCTAAACCCTAAACCCTAAACCCTAAACCCTAAACCCTAAACCCTAAACCCTAAACCCTAACCCCTAAAAACCCTGAGCCCTATAAACCCGAAGCCCAGGACAGAAGTGGTGAATGGAAGCCGTGGACTTGGATTTAGGGTTTATTTAGGGTTTAGGGTTTAGGGTTTAGGGTTTAGGGTTTAGGGTTTATTTAGGGTTTAGGGTTTAGGGTTCAAGGGTTCGAGGGTTCGAGGGTTCGAGGGTTCGAGGGTTCGAGGGTTTGCGGCTTTAGGGCTTTAGGGTTTTTGGGTTTCTTGGAGTTTTGGGGGTTTTGGGTTTTGGGGTTTTAGGATTTTCTGGCTTGAGGGTTTTAGGGTTTAGAGGGTTTGGGGGTTTTTAGGGCATCAGGGTTTCGGGGTTCAAGATTTTAGGGGTTTAGGCTTCAGGTTGCAAGGGTTTTTAAGGGTTTTACCCTAAACCCTAAACCCTAAACAATAAACCCTAAACCCTAAACCCTAAACCCGAAACCCGAAACCCGAAACCCTAAACCCTAAACCCTAACCCTGAACCCTAAACCCAGGGGGGCTTGCGGCTGCAGGGTTTTAGGGTTTAGGCTTACTTCCCTAGGTTGCTGGGGACCGGGGCGATCTTTGTGGCTCAGGGGCCAAAAGCCCGAAGCCCTAAACCCTAAACCCTAAACCCTAATCCCTGAACCCTGAACCCTGAACCCTAAACCCGAAACCCTAAACCCTAATCAATATGTAGGAGTTGCAGGCGTATCGAACTGCAGGGGTTTAGTTCCCTACAACCCGGAGTGGGGTTGTTGCATGTTAACGTAACAGTCCTTAATTTACTCGGGATTATGGTACCCCCTTGATTTGATAGTCCCGATTTAGGGCTGTTGGTATAAGGGGAACATCCCAACCCAAACTCTTCTCCTCGCCCGGTCCTCGCCCATCGCAACAATCCCCGCCCCAGCCCGAGTATCCCCAGGAGAGTCCCCGGAGTGCCAAGCCATGAGTTGATGGTTCATAATACCTTGAATAGGAACTACAGTGGTATAGGGTATATGACCTGAATTACCTAAACCCTAAACCCTAAACCCTAAACCCTAAACCCTAAACCCTAAACCCCACTTGTTAGATGTGGTTGTCAGGGGTTGGATACGAGGCCTTTCTCCGAAATGGGAGCACGGCAACTGCTTCGACTTCGTCGTGGATGACATCAAACGCCAGGACGTTGGTTTCGGGTTTAGGGTTTAGGGTTTAGGGTTTCGGGTTTGGGGTCCCGTCCCGTCTGTGGTCCTCGTAGACGAGCTGCCCGCATGCTCATGTTTGCCAGCCGATGGTGCCCTAAACCTTAAACCCTATAAACCCTATAAACCCTATAAACCCTATATACCCTATAAACCCTATGAACCCTATAAACCCTAAACCCTAAACCTTTTGGCAGGAAGTCGAGTTTGCAGTCCACGACAGCGACACGGGCACCTTCAAATGGAAGCATCTCGTCCACATCAGGTGCATTTTGCACTCGCTGCGGCCAAAATATAGTCGTAATTGTAGTAGTGAATTGTATGTACCAGATTCTCCGAGCTCAGGCACAATCTCAACCGCAGCCACCAAAGTGAGCAGGACAACGACAACACTAAGACTAAGACTTCATCCGCAGGGCACTGGCCAGATTGCTTGGCACTTTTGCTACTGCTCCTGCTCCTACTGCACTACTGCGACTCCTACTGCTGCTACGATCAGCAATCCTTGCGCTTATTTGCTACGGCTATGGTCTACCACCACTAGAAGCCCTACCACTGCCGCTACCGCTACACGACCACGCCAGGGCCACCGTCTTGGGCTGCGGGGGATCCAAACTGGCTGCGCTGCTGGAAGGCCAACGCACAGAGGAGCGGGGCTGGTCTTCATTGCACCAGGACTTGGTAGCCCAGCGGTACCCTTTGCCCTTTTTTGTTTGGCTACAGGTTCCCTTGTAAAAAATAGCCAACCCCAAAAAAGGGTGCCCTTATTATGATATGGTTACTGGGCTAGCAAGAGGAAGAGAGCCACCTCTTGAGTTGAGCCTTTCTTGTGTCTTGAAGACATGTCCTGCATATTTTCGGTTTTGGGCGTTCGGGTTCAGGGGTTTACGGACACCCTTGCCTCAAACCCTAGCCCTGAAGCCGAAAGCTGCCCCCAAAGTGCCCAGAAGCCCTAAACCCTAAACCCTAAACCCTAAACCCTAAACCCTAAACCCTAAACCCTAAACCCTAAACCCTAAACCCTAAACCCTAAACCCTAAACCCTAAACCCTTGCCAGAACCAGCTGCCGGGCGCCTGGATTCGGCTGGTCACCGGCCCAGGGAAGCTGATACCGGCAGGGCAGTCACATGGCAGCAGCTTAGAGCTGGTAGTTTAGGGTTTAGGATTTAGGGTTTAGGGTTTAGGGTTTGGGGTTTAGGGTTTAGGGTTTGGGGTTTAGGGTTTAGGGTTTAGGGTTTGGGGGTTTAGGGTTTGGGGTTTAGGGTTTGGGGTTTGGGGGTTTAGGGTTTCGGGTTTAGGGTTAGGGCTTAGGGTATGTGGTGAATGTGGATTTCTTCACGTGCAACAAATAGACAGATTTACATGCCTATTTACATATATATATATATACACATATCCAAATACAAACAAATACATATAATTATATATATATATATATAATATACACACATGTGCTCACACATCATGTAGTTTCGGTTTACATCGCATCGAATTTTGAAAGGGTTCGTGGGTTCATCCGTCCACCCCACCCGATCCCTACACCTACCCTAAATCCCAAGCCTAGAGCGAACCCACACCCCTAAACCCTAAACCCTAAACCCTAAACCGTAAACCCTAAACCCCTGCAACACAACCCCCCCAACCAAAGCTGATTCAACATCTCCCTATCCAAACCCCTCAACGCCTCCAGCTAGGAAAGGAAATCTCGGAACCGAAGCCCCGGCGACCCCAAAGGCCCAGCAACAAGTAGCCCTAAACCCTAAACCCTAAACCCTAAACCCTAAACCCTAAACCCTAAACCCTAAACCCTGCTGACAGGCTCCAGGTGCGAGCCGAGTGGCGGCCGCTCCAACAGGGCCGACACTCGGTTCGGGTTTCGGGTTTAGGGTTTCGGCTTTCGGGTTTCGGGTTCAGGGTTTGGGGTTTGAGTTTTTAAGGTTTAAGGTTAGCCAGTTTCAGCCCTAAACTCGAAACCCGAAACCCTAAACCCCAAACCCTTCTAGGGTTTTAGGGCTTCGGAGGCTTTAGGGTTGAAGCTCCGGGGCCCCCAGTGTTTGGGGTCTAGGGTTCAGGGCCCAAGGAGTTTAGGGAGTTCAGGGGCGGGGTTGAGGGTTAAGGGAGGGTTTGGAGGGTTTGGAGGGTTTGGAGGGTTTAGGGTTTAGGGTTTAGGGTTTAGGGTTTAGTTCACGGTTCAGGATTTTAGGGTTCTGGGGTTCATGGGCTGTGGGGTTCAGGGCTTCCGGAACTTGGGGTTTTTTAGATTTATTTGAGTGCTTAGGGTTTAGGGTGTAGGGTTTAGGGTGCAGGCTGTTTTCCCGTTGATGGCGGGGTGGGGGGGTGTGGGGGTTGATCTGCTGACCTTGTTTTGGGGTGGGGGAATCATGTCTATTCATTTCTGTAGGGTTTAGGGTTTAGGGTTTAGGGTTTAGGGTTTAGGGTTTAGGGTTTAGGGTTTAGGGTTTAGGGTTTAGGGTTTAGGGTTTGGTGGGGTGAGAGTAGTGAAGTGTTTTTGTTTGTCAAGCGCTCCGTCTGGCTGCCGAGAGGGTCTTGGTGGGGGGTCGCTCTCGATCTGTTGGGGGCGCTCTCGGTTCCCTTAGCCCCTGTAAACAAAAGGGGTACCCTTTTTAATTCCTAGGCTTCTCCTGGGTCTAGAATCCGAAGACTCAAGCCAAATTCCAGCAGACCTTCGACCAGGAACAGCCGGACCGGTTGATGCGCCAGCCTCCATCTACGTCCAGCCATGTTCAGGCCCAGCCCATTTGCATGCTAGTCTTGGGGCCAATCAGCTCAACACAGCATCATTGTGCTCCTCCTTTCCATGACATGTTCAGCCTAAACCCTAATAAACCGGAAACCCTAAACCCATCCTAAACCCTAAACCCTATACCCTAAAAGTGTTGTGTAAAGTGGCTTGCTGTGAGCGCCCAAGGCCAGCCCCACACACCAACTTTTGCTAGGAAGGCCCTTGTGACATGTCACGTTTCCCTTTTTGCGCTCAAGAAGGAGCATGTTCAAGGGGTTTAGGGTTTAGGGTTTAGGGTTCAGGGTTTAGGGTTTAGGGTTTAGGGTTTGGGGCTTGGGATTCCAAATTATTTAGCCGGCTTAAGGGCCATCCTAGCTTGCGTACCATCGAACTGCCAGGCCTTTGGACAGTTGGCCCAAGTTCTCAGAGCGAGTGGGTGCTCGTGGCGGATGTCCTCAGCGCGACCGCGCTGCCAGGGGACAGCAACGGGCAAAAGCACCGTGCCACTCAGCTGCTCTTTGTCTAACCCTAAACCCTAAACCCTAAAATAGGATCCAGAGTAGGCCCTTATCCCCTTTCTTTAGGGTTTGGGTTCCCAGTTCCCTCATAAGCCCCTTTAAGACAAAAAGGACACCCTGTGCATTCCTAGGTTACTCCTGGGTCTAGTTGTACGTGCATGGTAGAACATACCCGCAAGCGTTCTTCCCTGTACGGATTCTAGCATTGTTCTGGTTGTTGGCTGAAGCGCCGGCAGCGATGATGTATTATTGTACACATATACTAATGATGGTAATTTTGATATATATATATATATACTTATGTGAAAACATATATATATATATATATAGAGTGAAAAATGATCATGATACAAAGCCCTGAACCCTGAGCTCATCGCGCGAAGCGCTCTGAGTCAGGTCTGCCTGCGCCTGCTGCGGGAGGGAAACCCTAAACCCTAAACCCTAAACACCAAATTTCTAAACCCTAAACCCAAAACCCTGAAGCTCTGAGTCAGGTCTCCTTGAGCCTGCTGTGGGAGGGTGCCGACACCGGCCGCCAGAGTTCTACAGGCGAAACGGGGGGGGGGGAAGTGAAGGAATTCGGGCCTCGGGATTTGGTTTAGGGTTTAGGGTTTAGGGTTTAGGGTCTAGGGTTTAGGGTCTCGAGCCTGAAGCCTTGAATGCCTAAAGCCCTTAACTAAGGCCATAAGGTCCTAAGAACCCTTGGCTCCTGAAACTGTAAGGCCCTGAGGAACTGGTAGCTGGTTTAGGGTTATTGTTTGGGATTTCGGGTTTAGGGTTTAGGGTTTAGGGTTATTGTTTGGGATTTCGGGTTTAGGGTCTAGGGTGCAGGGTACTCGGGTTTGATGTCCTCGTTGCTTTCCCGGTTTGGGAGAGCTGACAGTTCGTCAATCTCCCTTGGTGGTAGGCTTCCGATAGAACAATGGCACACACACACACACAGATCACACATCAGCTCAGAACTGAGCAAGGTCGTGGCATCTCGTGTTTTGCGACATCTTCAAGGGTTTGGGGTTTAGGGTTTAGGGGGCCTGAAAATCTCTTTGATTGAAAGCATGGCACCAAGCATCGCGATGAGCGCTCGATAGAGCAAGTCTGGGCCCAACCCTGTAGCCCCTAAACCCTACTCAGTTCCTATAAACCCCTTAAACCCTAAACTCTAAACCCTACAACCTATACCCTGCGAAACCCTAAACCCTAAACCCTAAACCCTAAACCCTAAACCCTAAACTCCTTTTGAACCCCCTAAGCCCCTTGACCGCAAACCCCTACACTCTTTAAAGCCCCCAAGCGCCACAACACAACCTCCTTTACCCTCAAGTCCTAAACAGCCCCTGCCATAAGATATTGCACTAAACCCCCAAACTCTGGACCCTAAACCCGAAAAACCCTCAACCCTAGCCCTAAACCCTAAACCCTAAACACCAATTTCTAAACCCTAAACCCTAAACCCTAAACCCTAAACCCTAAACCCTAAACCCTAAACCCTAAACCCTAAACCCTAAACCCTAAACCCTAAACCCTAAACCCTAAAGGCTTGGCCTTGGCTGAGAGTCCTTTGGCCCTCGGTGGGCAGATGATCGGCAACATGAACCTCCGGCCCGAGATTGGAGAAGTGCTGCGGAACCATCCCGAAAGGAGGGGGTTTAGGGTTTAGGGTTTAGGGTTTAGGGTTTAGGGCTTAGGGTTTAGGGTTTAGGGGGAGATTATCAACCCTAATCCCAAAAAATGTATGGGGTTTAGGGCTTTGGGGTGTAGGGCTTGCGGTTGGGTCAGGAGGTTTGGTGGGTTTGTAGCCCTAAACCCTAAACCCGGCATGTGCATCAAAAACATATTTAGGATCAAACAAAAGTTAGGATCAAGAATTAGTTCTACTGTTCTTCCGAGGGAGGGAGGGAAGGAGGAAAGGAAAGAAGAGGATAGGAAAGGAAAGGAAAGGAAAGGAAAGGAAAGGAAAGGGAGGCAGGAAGGAAGCGAAGCGAAGCGAAGCGAAGCGAAGCGAAGCGAAGCGAAGCGAAGCGAAGCGAAGCGAAGCGAAGCGAAGCGAAGGAAGGAAGGAAGGAAGCGAAGCGACGCCAAGAAGGAAGCGAAGCGAAGCGAAACGAGGAAAGAAGGAAGCACCAGGTGCGGCGAACCTCTCCGGCCTCAGCGGTCCGAGTTCCGTGGCCGTGTCGTGTAAACATGCACTTGCCATGTCGTGCTAATCGCCGCACATGTGCTTGAATTTGCATCACAAAACCCAGTGCGCCGACGACGCCTACAACGAGGGGACTATGCCTGCAAGGTGTGCCGCAGCAAGCTTTCCAAGCTGGGTATGGCGGAGTTCCAGAATCTTTAGACTTTTGTTGGCGCATCATAGCTGTCGTCCTCAGCCCCGTGGATCACTATGTAGAACCCCGAACTCTTGTGAACATGCACATGTGGCCTTTGAGGAGCTGAAGCGCATCTCTCTGACGCAAGCCATCCTGCCATCCCGCAGAGAAGCTCAGAGCCTGCGGAACACATGGCCGACGTGGACATGACACAACCTGGTCCGGAGGCTGTGCCGGCTGGCAATGCCGCGCCGGCTATGCCAGTCACAGTAGCACATGGTCCACGCCGGTGGATCGCGCCCTCAAGTCTCTGCTGCAGCTGCAAAGCTGCGACGCAGCCAGCTTCCTGCCTTTTTGTCTTGGCAGCAGCTTGGTTTGGAGGGACTTGCCTCCTTGGACTTCGCATCCTTGCGTGCCGTCTTCCCCACTGTGCCCGCAGGGGTTTTACTGCGTGTGCATAAACGCCGCCAGAGCCGGGGCCATGTCCATGTCGCACTTGTAAAAGCCTGCCTCTCGCAGATGGAAAGCCCCGTCCCGGACTATGCTTGGGAGAGGCCATGTCTACGCGCAAAGACATGAGATTTTTCATGCTTTTGTCGGACGAAGAGGAGGGGAAGGGGAGGGGGGGAGGAGGGGGAGGAGGAGGAGGAGGAAGAGGAGGCAGTGGGCGAGTCTGGGTGAGCAAGACGAGGAGGGCGTGGAGGAAGGATGCAGAGGAAGACCAGGCACCGCAGAGACTTGCAGATGCCCTGTTTAGCGTTTCGAAAAAAACAAAACATCAAACAAAATCGAAAAAATCGGAAGAATTAAGTAGGCTTGAGTTCCTGGGAGTGCCGGAAAACTCGCGGAGAAAAATATGAGAAAAACACACAAGTAGGCTGGAGATTCTCGCGGGGTGCGGAAAATGCAAAACATCCAAAAAGCAACGCAAAAAACCCCGAAAAGCTGTAGCCTGCAATCTGCGGGGGAGTTGGGGGGGGCGGGGGGGGAATTTCCGGGCCTGCAGGAATTCCAGCCTATGTTGAATTGCGTAGTTCTCTTTAGTTGCTTTACTCGTTGTCCGGGCCGCGGGCCGCGGGCGTGCCAGCCTCCCTTATTGTATGTTTTGTTGTTATTTTCCCACCTTGTTTTCTGGTTGATTTTCAATTGCATTTTGTCAGTTTTTATATGATTTTTATTTGATTTTAAATAGGTTTCTATTTGAGTTTTATTCGATTTTTTGATTTTCGTTTGATTTTTATTTGATGTATTTCCTATTTAGTTTTAATTTTGTTTTTGACCTGTTTTCGGCGCCTATTTTTTGATCTCAATTTTGATTTTATTCCGTTTTTTTCGATTTTGAGTTTTTTCGTTGAACTTGGGGCCATATCTGTCTTATTTTATATAGGAATTCATTATCATAAGTCTAGCGGACACTGCGGTAGATGTCCAGGCCAGCGCGACGTCCGCCGCGGAATCTGCCTGCGCCCTATACGCTTCTCCACGCGCTGCGCTGCTGTGGTCGTGGTTTGGGTGGGGTGCCTCCCTTTCGGCATGCCGGACTCGGCTGTCCAAGAGTTGAGAGGCCCCATGTTGCGGCCCACCTGGGCCTGGGCGATGAGCGTTTATGGGTGCGTGCGCAGGCTCCCCACGCAGAGGGCAGAGTGGCTTGCGGATCTTGGCTTTGCACGCCCGCCTGCTTCGCAGACAGGCTCCCGGATGACAAAACTCGGGCCCCTGAGACATAAAAGTGCTTGTCCACAGCCTAGCCGTCGAACCCGGGCCTTCGCCGAGACCCTGCCCTTCGTCGAACCCCCTTCCCGCTTCCCTTCCGGCAAATGCACTCTTCGTCGAACCGCCGGCCTTCGCTTGTCGAACCCCTCGGGCTTCGTCTTCTCTTGCGTCGGCCTTCGTCGAACCTCCCGGCCTTCGTCGAACCTTCGTCCCCCCCCCCGGCCTTCGTCGAACTTCGGAATCGTCTTGGCCTGTGACTAGCCCGGGTCCTGCTTTTCGCCCATCCTGATGTGTTGCCCCCTAAAGCCAAAGCCAAAAGGCCACAAACGAAGACACTCCAAGGTCTGCCTTCAAAGCCAAGAGGCAAGAAAACGGAGACAGCCAGAAGCAATCCCGGGCAGACAAGCTTGTCTTTAGGGGACGCAACAGTACCCCAAGAGCCTCTTTAAGCCGCAGAACTTGTCTTTATAGGGGACCTCACAATTCAGCCAGGTCACACGTTAAATGCCTTGCTCTTAGGGTACAGACCACCTTTGAAAGGAGTTGCTTGGAAAACCCATATGACTTTCAAGCCGGCGTACGAGCGCCGTGTTTGGAGAAGGGCCCTGCAAGCTTACTGCAGAGTACATCGTGCCATCGAAAGGCCTTTCATTATCATGCTATCCACAGAAATAGCTTGAGACCCGCAACCCACCCCCGCCCCCCCGCTCTTTTTTGGAATCGTGCTGGCCTGCTTCAGAGTATATGCGCCATTTCGAAACCTTTGATGCCAGCATTGATTTGTAGACCCTGGAAACTCTGAAATGCTGCTAATTTTTTGCCGTATGCCAGCCTCTGAAAGCGCAGAAATGCTGCTGTTTACAATCTTTGCAGCCTCTGCAAACTCAGAAATGCTGCTGTTTACCGTATTTCCCGCATAAATGCTGTACCTTTTCGGTGTTCAACGCTTGCGAACGCATTTACAGGTCCCGAACAGTATAGCATATTTCGTCCTCGTAGTTGTCGGGATCACATTTCTGTCACAAGTCCTCTCCCCTAGCCTCCGCTCCGCTTGCAACAAGCCTTGGAAACGTTCAGCAACTGTTTTGATTCCAGATATGCCTCGAAATAAATTATATTTTGATCCCAAATACATTTTTGATCCCTTACCCTGCCCTGGTGCAGCTCCTACTTGGGTTTAGGATTGAGGAGGGTTTGGCCCCTCGTGTATCTCAAACCCTAAGCCCAGCCCAAAACTCCAAAAGCCCGAGCCCAGCCGCACAATTTCCAACAAAGCCCTAAACCTTGAGTGCAACAAAGTCCCGCATCACTGGCTTGGCGCAGGATCTACGCTCTCTGGCGCGCAAAGGCTCCTGGGAAGTGCAGTGGCGCCCTTTCACACTTTCTTAGGTTTAGAGTTCAGGTTTCGAATTCTGAACTAAACCCTAGACCCTAAACAAAAAGGCTGGTACCCTTTGTTCAGCCTGGGGCTACCTAGGTTCCGATCGATCCCAAAGCCGAGCGGCTTGAGCGAGGCCAGTGGCGCGGTTTGTCTGGTAACCAACCTATAAACCCGAAAGATACTATGGCAGTACTAACAGGGTCTAAATGATTCAAAACGCGGGGTGCGCTTCAGAAGTCCGAAGGTTCTCGGGTGTCGGACTGGTGTTTGGGCTTGGGGGTGAGGACTTCGGGCTTGTGATCATTACAGATTGGCAGTTGCAGTTGCAAAGCGTTGTTTTGTTTTTTTTAGGCGGTCTGACGTGGCAGGCTACCTCTTTCCGAAAGCGAGCAAGGGGGACCTCATCTCCCAGGCGTGCATCCACGGCCGGGGGCCTAGGCTGGCGGCCGAGTTTTCGCGCCTCCGGTTGTCATGCACCTCCACCCCCAACTCTCGCAAGAAATTTGACAGGAAGGGGTCGGAAACCCTAAACCTATAAACCTTAAACCCCAAACCCTAAACCCTGAACCTTAAGCCCTAAACCCGAAACCCTAAACCCTAAACCCTAGACTGGGCAACGTTGGGTTACCCGGGGGGATCCACCCTGTTTCCAAAATTAGGTGTGCCTTATTGGGGGGCCTACTCTTTGGGGGTTTATATTAGGGTCGTGAATTTTCGTAAACCCCCATAAAGGAACGTCCTTATCTTAGGGGCTGGGTAGTTATCCTTTAGCCCTTTCGGTGCTATACAATCCGATTACAAAATGAAAGGTTACCTTTTTTTGGGCCAGGGTATTCAGCCCTTAAGTTCATATAGGGGATCTTACTGTTTGGGGGACTATATTAGGGCCCTTATCTTCGCAAGCCCCCCAGATCATGAGATTCAGGAGCAGTGTAGGCCTCTAAGTCCTGAGTCGTTAAATGCGTGCTACGGCTGGGCGTATGGCCTATGGTAGGATCTGATATGATCTGATCTATAGTATATGATCCCTTCGACATAGTTTTTCCCTAGATCGAGTTCGTGGCAAGCTTGGCGCCCGAGTTATAGAAATGCTAGGACCCAGAGTAGGCCCTTTTTCCCTTTTTAGAGGGTTTGGGTTCCCTTATTACCCCAGTTAAACCAAAAGGGCACCCTTTTTATTCCTAGGTTACTCCAGGGGTCTAGTTTTGAGGCGTTGACTGATGGGCCGCTCAACGAAGGTCCCTACGGCGCCTACCAGCCGATGTTTGTGGACGCAGTGTGTCATGGCACCATAAAGTCTCCAGAAGCGACCTGCTGAAACGATCAAATCCTAAATTCTGAACACTAGTGATGCCTGTGCCGTCTGCACCGCAAGCAAGAGGTCAAGTCCCCTTGCCCCCCTTATAATTAAGTGCTCCCACTCGAACTGCTTTTATAGTTTTCGGGCATCTTTCATGTCGGGGGGGGGAAAAGGTCGGGGGAGTTGACCTGAGGTGGAATTGCACCTGCCAGTTGCTGCTGGACTCTGTCCCTGCCATGACACTCAGGTTGGCAGTGAGCCACTCTGTGCAAGATTTGAGGGTTTAGGGTTCGGGGTTTGGGGTTTAGGGTTTAGGGTATAGGGAAAGTTTGGTGTTTTTTGGAGGGGGGCAAGGGTTGGTTTCCAGGTTTGGGGTCTCAAGGGTTTAGGGTCTCAAGGGTTTAGGGTCTCAAGGGTTTAGGGTCTCAAGGGTTTAGGGTCTCAAGGGTTTAAGGTCTCAAGGGTCTAGGGTCTTAGGGTTTAGGCTTGGGTGTGGGGTCCGCTGGATTTTAAGCTTTAAGCCTACTGGGAATGTATTGAGTGAACTTTGTATGTTCTCAATGTTATGGGTTTCTTGGGTGGGTGGGTTTTTTTCTGACGCTTGACAAGCTGCCCGGCCAGTGAATGCTCTGACTTGAGATGCTGAACCCTAAGCCCTAAACCCTAAACTCAATCAATCTGATATGGGGGTTTAAGATGGCCCCTCCTCGCAGCAGCGGCGGTCTTGAAGAAGCCCTAAACCCTAAACCCTAAACCCTAAACCCTAAACCCTAAACCCTAAACCCCAAAAGGCCAGGCGATAAAAGCATTCTTGCCAAGCTCCTGCGAACCGGCCATGTGAGCCTTGAGCCATACAGCGCTGGCTTTGCTACCCCAAAGCCCAAACCCTAAACCCCAAACCCCAAACCCCAAACCCTAAACCCTAAAACCTAAGCCCTAAACCCTAAACCCCAAACCCTAAACCCTCAACCCTAAACCCTGAACCCTGAACCCTGAACCCTAAACCCTAAACCCTGAACCCCAAGTCCGATGCCCTAAACTTTAAACCCTGACATCCGCGCACGAGGTGAACATGGATCTGACGCGGTAGTGGGCCTTGCCTGCTACGCCCTGGATCAGCTCCTTGAGGCGCGAAGCCTTTGACATGCCAATGCCCCTCTAGGGTTTAGGGTTTAGGGTTTAGGGTTTAGGGTTTGGGGTTTAGGGTTTAGGGTTTAGGGTTTAGGGTTTAGGGTTTAGGGCTAGGGTTTAGGGTTTCGGGTGTAGGACGCCTCTTGAGCTCTTCAACCCCGAAACCCTCAACTTCAACCCCCTGTCCCGAACCCAAAGCAGGGCTGGTACCAGAAAGCGGATACCCTAAACCCTAAACCCTAAACCCTAAACCCTAAACCCTAAACCCTAAACCCTAAACCCTAAACCGTGCGCATTGCAGAGGTAGGAGAGAGCTGGAGGGTTTAGGTTTTAGGTTTAGGGTGCTCTGGGCTCTGGGTTTAAGTGGACAGACTGGCCTCTCATGCAGGTTAGGGTTTATGGAGTTTGGGGTTTTGGGTAAACCCCTACACTCTCAACCCTAGTCTTTAACCCGCCTTTGTTTCCCAACTTCCGTGGAGCTCCGAGGTTCTAGGGTTTAGGGCTTTTGGGGTTTATCGGGTTTAGGGTTTGGGGTCTATCGGGTTTAGGGTTTGGGGTTTAGGGTTTAGGGTTTAGGGTTTAGGGTTTAGGGCTAGGGGGTTTCGGGTAGATAAGGTTCACCCGACATTGAGAAGCAAGGCCCCGGGATGGCGCTTCGAGGGGCTGCTGCCCTTGCGGAGAGTTGGCAAGGCAGGGTTGGGGTTTAGGGTTTAGGGTTAGGGTTTAGGGTTTAGGGTTTAGGGTTTAGGGTTTAGGGTTTAGGGTTTAGGGTTTGTGGTTTAGGGTTTAGGGTTTAGGATTTAGGGTTTAGGGTGTAGGAGGGTGTAGGGTGTAGGGTTTGGGGTTTATAGGCCTAGAAAGGGGTACCCCCAAATCATCCCGAGCACGTGAGCTCCTGGGTTCTAGACTGACACTTCTGGGGAGGGATTGAGGGGGAATGCGGAGGATATGAAATCCTAAAACCCTTCACCCCGAAGAGTTCTTGATGAGACGACTTTGGTGTTTTGTTTACGCCCTAAGCCCTATAAGCCCTATAAGCCCTATAAGCCCTATAAGCCCTATAAGCCCTATAAGCCCTATAAGCCCTATAAGCCCTATAAGCCCTATAAGCCCTATAAGCCCTAAGCCCTATTCTAAAACCCAAGCGACTTGCCTACTCGGACCCCTGGTGATGGCCTTTGTTCCTTTTTTTGTGTTTAGGGTTGCCTTCAAACCCTAAACTCTAAACCCTGAACCCTGAACCGTATCCCCAAAAGAACACCCCAATATACTCACCAATATCAATCAGGCTCAGTACGTACGATCAGCAAGAAGAGTAGTGCAACCATAAATTCCCTAAGACCCCAAACCCTAATCCCTATGTCCCCCAAGCCCGAAATCCCTCAACCCTAAACCCCCAAAAACCTAAGCCCAAGACTGCACATCCCTAAGCCCTAAATCCCTAAACCCTAAACCCCCAAATGCCTAAACCCAAAACCACACATCCCCGGTCCCCAGGCCCTGAACCACAAACCCGAAACCTTAAACCCTGGCATCCCGACAGCTCCAACCCCTAAACCGTCAACGGCACACCCCAAACCCCCCGAAACCCTAAGCCCCAAACCCCAAACCCGAAGCCGCAAACCCGAAGCCGCAAACCCGAAGCCGCAAATCCTAAGCCCCAACCCCTAAGCCCCAAACCCTAAGCCCCAAGCCCCAAACCCCAAACCCTAGAACCCCAAACCCTAAACCCTCAACCCTGGAGGTTCAGAACAGCCCGGACGACTTCTGTGCGGCTCTCCGGGTGAGGCTGCGGCTGCACCAGCTGGAGACTCCTCCGGCTGGGAGCCTCAGTCTGGCAGGGTTTAGGGTTTAGGGTTTAGGGTTTAGGGTTTAGGGTTTAGGGTTTAGGGTTTAGGGTTTAGGGTTCAGGGTTCAGGGTTTAGGGTTCGGGCTCAGGAATCAGGGTAGGGTTTAGGGTTTAGGGTTTTAAGTTTCGAGAGTTGATGCTTCTGCCAGGTTGAGGGTCGCAGGTTGCCTAAATCCTACACCCTAAACCCTGAACGCTGAACCCTAAACCCTAAACCCTAAACCCTAAACCCTGATTCCTGAACCCTAAACCCTAAACCCCCCCGAAGCTCCGAAGTCCTCCAGGCGCACGGCGCGGCCAACGCACCTGCGACGAAGCTGTCGCGGACCGGGTCACAGTGGTTCGATGCGGTGGGAGGCATCCGTAGGGTTCTAAAATTTTGGGTTTAGGGTTTAGGGTTTAGGATTTAGGGTTTAGGGTTTAGGGTTCAGGCTTTAGGGTTTAGGGTTGAGACCGTAAACCCGAAGAACCCTAACAGCTTGGTTTGGGGTTTCGGGCTGAGGGAACGGACTTAAACTCCACACCCCAAGCCGTAGAAGCCGAACCCTAAACCCTAAACCCTAAACCCTAAACCCTAAACCCTAAACCCTAAACCCTAAACCCTAAACCCTAAACCCTAAACCCTAAACCCTCTCAAATCGCCTTAGAATCCTCATAATTCGTCGGCCTCAAAGTCCCCTTTAAACCCTAAACCCTAAACCCTAAACCCTAAACCCTAAACCCTAAACCCTAAACCCTAAACCCTAAACCCTAAACCCTAAACCCTAAACCCTAAGCCCAACCTGATCAACGAAGTGCGGTCTCCGGGTTCAATCCCCAAAGCTCTCGAATTCCGAAAGGCCCTAAACCCTCACTCCGTATAGGGGTCGACTGCCCGCCCCAATCCCGCAACGCTTTCAACCAGGATGCAGGAGCCTACTATTTGCTTAACACCCCCCAAAAAAGACATCAAAGATATTCACCCCTATATTGCCTCATTTGGAACAACATTCTTATTCCTTGGGCAGGTTCTTAAGCAAATAGTAGATAACATACCTTTGGAATCCATATATCTATCACAGGAACTTAGACGCTACACCAAAAACGGCCCATTCTCACGAGCTACTTCTACGTCCCTCGAAACCCTAGGGCCGAGAGACTTTGTTGTCAAAACGTCTCCTTGCCAGATCAACTCGATTCCTGGCGCCACACCTTGACAAAAAGCTGCTCTGCCACGAACGTTTAGGGTTTAGGGTTTAGGGTTTAGGGTTTAGGGTTCAGGGTTTAGGGTTTAGGGTTTAGGGTTTAGGGCTGGATGCACAGTCGGGTTGTTCGACCCGCTTCAGGGCGTCCTCAATATTTACTTCGCATGTTCGGCTGAAGGTAAGGGTTAAAGATTGGGGTTTCTAGCCTTGTTACTGTTGCGGGTCAGGAGAATCCCTTCCCCCGTTTATTAAATGGACCCCTAATGATAAAAACACTTTCCGGAAAATCCTGCCGAAACCAGCCCCGCGTTTAAAACCCTATTCCGAATTAGGGGGGGTTCAGGCCTCCAAGAAACCCCTCAACCCCAATAAAACCCTCAGCGGGTTACTTAAGTTGATTACTTGAGTAACCCTGAAGTCTAATGAATTATGACATTTCGATAAGAATACCCCCTAATTATAAAAGCAGTTTTCGAATTTTTAAAAGGGGGGGGTGGCCCCCCGTTTAATATTAGGGGGAAGGGATTATACCAAACCCTAAACCCTAAACCCTAAACCCTAAACCCTAAACCCTAAACCCTAAACTAGAAACAAGCAGAGCCGTCGTAGCATGGCAGCCTTCACCTCACCGTGTTCCTCGCAGAAGCATATCGGCGTGCAGCTGCAGACCTTCCATGGGGTTTGGATCTGAATTACGGCGTTTTTAGGGTTTAGGGTTTAGGGTTTAGGGTTTAGGGTACGTTCACTAGGTTTAGGGTACGTTCACTATAGTTTACGGGACATAGTTCGAGCAGAGACTCTAATCCTTGGTAGCCCAGGGGCACCCTTTTCCCTTTTTTGGGTTCAAGGTTCCCTTTTACATTAACCAACCCAAAAAAAGGGTGCCCTGATAATAATATGGTTACTAGGCTACCCAGAATCTAAACCCTAAGCCCAAAACCCTAAACCCTAAACCTTAAACCCTATGGTCCCTTAGGACCTTAGGACTCGAGGCACACCAGATCCTGAGCCTTTTCACAAGCCGAGGTTTCAGTCACCTCGACACGAAAGTGCCGGATGAGGCCGCTGCCAATCATCCGAGCCAAGGCCTCAGCAGCTTAGGGGATGAGCACTACCCTCACAGCTTTGACCATAAAACCCTAAGCCCTAGGCCCTAAACCCTAAACCCTAAACCCTTCACAAGAGGCTCTGTGTGGTGTAAAGATTTCGTCCGTCTTTACAGATTAGGGTTTAGGGAACTTAGCTCTCTAGGCCCCAACAGAAGTCTTGCCTGGCAAGAGGCAGTTGCAGACACTCAGCTTGTTTGTTGAAGTGCTGGCAAGGTGGTATGTGCCCTCCACAATACCCCTAAACCCTAAACCCTAGACCCTAAACCCTAAACCCTAAACCCTAAACCCTAAACCCTAAACCCTTGAGTTTGCCAAGGCACGGGCTCGGCACCCCACTTCTTAGCGATGCCGCCCCCGCGGCGCCCAGCCGACATGCCGGATCATGGAAACTTTCGGTCCCGGCGCTTCGTCCCACAGGTGGGGCGGGGGCGGGGGGGTGGGGGCGGAGGTGTGGCTGAGGTACCCTAAACCCTAAACCCTAAACCCTAAACCCTGATCCCTGAACCCTGAACCCTGAACCCTAAACCCTAAACCCTAAACCCTAAACCCTAAACCCTAAACCCTAAACCCTAAACCCTAAACCCTAAACCCTAACCCTAAACCCTAAACCCTAAACCCTACATCAAAAACAGGGCTTAGCGTTTGGGGTTTGAGGCGAGTTTGTGAGGCTTTCCATGGTTCATGGGCTGAAGCTGCATCGCAGGCAGGCTTAGCAGACGTTGGCTATAGGAATGGCAGACCGGAACCCTAAACCCTAAACCCTAAACCCTAAACCCTAAACCCTAAACCCTAAACCCTAAACCCTAAACCCTAAACCCTACACCCTACACCCTACACCCTACACCCTACACCCTACACCCTAAACCCTAAACCTTAGGGTTTAGGGTTTGGGGTTCGGCATCTCGAGTCCAAGCATTCACTGGTCAACGCAGCCTGTCACTTGACGGAGACATACTGTACCTACCCATTCGGTCCCTCAACATTGGGAAACGATTTTTCAGTATTCTACTCTACATCTCAAGCCGGCCTTCTTTTCACACCACGAAGAATTGCTGCAGGTTTTGCACCTGAAAGCCCAACGACTTGGTAGGTCTAAATTCCCACAGCCAAAACCAATAGCCTTCAAATCTTAGAGGGCTAAAATTGGTAAGGGGGGAGGGACGGGGGAGGGGCCAGGGTCATGGCGGGTCATGGCGTGCCTATGCACACGAAGGTTTGTGCCTATGTCACGAAGGTTCAGTTTGTGCCGAAATGGCCTGCCAGGCACAGATTTTAGGCACAAACCTTTGTCTATATCCCCCTTGGGAATCATTTTTTCTTTTTGTTCATATAAAACCCAAGAGGATATTAAACATATTGTTTTTATTAAGGTTCTAAGAGGAGTTTTGTTGTGGGCATAGGCACACCGTGCCTTGCCCGCGAAGGTTTGTGGCTATGCCCACGAAGGTTTGTGCCTATGCCCACGAATCCATTAGGGTTTATACGTAGAGAGGTTTAGGGTTTAGGGTTGAGGGTTTAAGGGCTGGTTGGAAACACTGGCGCAAGGTTCCCAAATCAAAGGAGTACATGTTTTGGGTTTCGGGGTCCTCTCAGAAGCCCTGCCAAAGGCAGAACTACGAGTTCCCTGACGCCCTAACCGGGCCCTACCCTCCCAGCCCCCCCGGACACACGCACGCATGCACGCACGCACGCACGCGCGCACGCATGTACGCACCCGCCCACACACACACAGACACACATCAGGGTTCAGGGTTTTTGGGTTTAGAGATTGATTAGGGGTGGCAGATCACCCCAAACCCTAAACCTAAACCCTAAACTCTACACCCCAAACCCTAAACCCTAAACCCTAAACCCAAAACCCTAAACCCTAGACCCTAAACCCTAAACCCTACACCCTAAACCCTAAACCCTAAACCCTAGGCCTCCGTCAGACGCCTCGGGACCGACGAGCTGGAGTTTCATGAGGCCCTTGAGCCCGACTCCGCTGAGATGCTGGGCTTGAGAGGCGGCGTGTGCCTCTGAAAATCGGAGCGTTTTGGGGGGGCTTTAGGGTTTAGGGTTTAGGGTTTAGGGTTTAGGGTTTAGGGCTTAGGAAGCCCTACTTGAAGGTTCATGGTACTCATGAACCAATAAGGGTTAAGGGTTCAGGGTTTAGGGTTTAGGGTTTAGGAGGGCACTTAAGCGGCTTATAAGTGGGTCATAAGAACAGTCAGAATTGGTTAACAGGTACCATGAACCTCCCAGTAAGCCCCAAGCCCTAAAACCGAAACCCGACGAGGGTTTAGACTTTAGTTGTTGGAGTCCACTCCGGTTTTGTTCTTGTTTGGTATTGGGTTAGGCTCTTGTCTAGGGGAAGGTGGATCATAAGGGCCCCTGACCCTACTCCCTAATCACATACACACATATATATATATATGGATACATTTATTTATTGTGTATTCATTCATTTAGTTGTGTATTCATTTATTTAGTTGTTCTGGGCGCTTCAAGACCCCTTGTAGGTAGCCCACTAGGTATCCTACAAAGCAAGTAGGCTTTGGCTTCTTGATCTTAGGGTAGTTACATGGTCCCTTCTTCGTTGCGGAACCCTTAAGGCTTAGGTTAGGGTTGATCCTGCAGCCACCCTCAGACGAAGCGGGCAATACAGAGGCGCGTTATCGGGTTGAACTATAGGTTTTAGGCTTATTAGAGTTTATAGATTTTAGGGTTTACGGGTTTAGGGCTTTTGGAGTTTCGGAATGCTTCGGAAGGGGCAGAGAGTTTCGGGGTCATCTGAGGAAAGGTCAAGGCCATGTCAGTGGGTCTGCAGCAGAATGAGCAAACAGGGCAAAACCCTACGCCTAAGCCTAGGCCTTTGGATCCCTATATTGCCCTCAAATTGACTACCCTACAAGCGTTACCCTAAACCCTAAACCCTAAACCCTAAACCCTAAACCCTAAACCCTTCACAGCCGCCATAGAGTTCTCGTGAGCCTGGCCGCCATGGACGGGGGCGAGGGCTTCCGGGCCTTGCTAAGATCCGTAGAGGTGCGCCTGCAAACAGAAAGTCTTGGGCTTGTAGGGTTTGGGGTTTAGGGTTTAGGGCTAGGGTTTAAGGTTTAGGGTTTAGTGTTTAGGGTTTGGGGTTTAGGGTTTATAGGGTTGCGGAGCTCATGTTAGCTGCTGGTGCCATGAAACTACGAGAAAGATCTGGGCTCTCGGGTCGGGGATAGGTCTTGTAAGCAGTCACATGGTGGCGACGTCGTGGGCTGTTTTGATGTTGCTCCCTTGCATTTCAGGGTTAAGATTTCGGCACGGGTGGAGGGGTTACAGATGGGTACAGCATTCTTGCAGGAGCCGAACAGCATGAAACAGCTAATTAGAAGCGACCATGTCTAGAAGGAAGACGCTGCGCAACAGCGGCGCAGAGCCTGCCAAGCAGTCGTAGAGATCTTGGACTAGGATGCCCAGTAGTGCCCTTATTCCCTTTTTGGGTTGAGTAGCTTATTTCAAAAAGTATACACCCCTTTAAGCAAAACAAGGCATCCTTCTTAATCCTGGGTTACTGGGCAACCAAGTGGAGGGATCTCCCACAAGAAGACGCTGCTTCCCTGATCCATGAACGCATCAGGAGCAATACGAGAATGACATTCACGAAGTCCGCCGTGGACTCAGATTGAGCCCTATAAACCCTAAACCCTAAACCCTAAACCCTGAGGGTTTCGGAAGCCCTGAGGTCACAGACAGGGAGGATCCGTCAAGTGATCGGCGGCTATTATTGTTCAAGGCTCTCTGTTCTGTAGGGTGCCATGAAGCGCTCGTAACTTACATGGGGATTTCCGAAAATAGGGGTACCTAATTGGGTTCCTCTTTTTCTCAGGGGATCCTACTAGATGAGGGGTCCCTTGTTATCGCGAACAGCTATATCTACTCCTAGTTCTGACCGAAGAGCTTGCTTGCCTACGCGTGCTGCTTCGCATAACTGCACAGTCCAGGGCTTCTGGAATTCTTAGTGCGATCGTCGAGGTATGGATGCTGGGATCGCTAGAAGGGGAGGCGGACCTAAACCCTAACCCCTACACCCTAACCCTGTCCTTGAGGATGTGCCCGGCGATCGAAAATGTCGATGAATCATCCCGGTCGCCGCAGCTTCGGCCGGGGGCTTAGACGGCGAAGACTCATGTTGGCTGGTTTCAAAAAAATCGGGGTACCTCGATAACACCTCGGGATGTTCACCCTTATACTAACCGTCTTGACTAAGGATTATAGTAGGGGTACTAGAATCTCCTTTAGGGACTCGGTTTGTATGTGGGGGGAACATCCCAAATTTTCCCGCCCAAATGCATCCAGAAACCCCCACTATTGCAACCCACGAGAGATGGCACCCCGATGTTGGAAGGCCACCAATTTTTGAAAGCCAAGCCAGAAGCCCGCAGAAGCAGGCATCAACCTAAGTAGGCCGCTCGGGGCATGCTTAATGTATTCCCTTGATCCGGTTGTAGAGGATCCTATGTAGGAATAACCCTAAACCCGAAACCCTAAACCCTAAACCCTAAACCCTAAATAACCCTAAGCCCTAAACCCTAAACCCTAAACCCCAGCAGCAGCCCGAGGCTCGGATAGCCAGGCAGGGGGGACCCCCAAGGTGTCCGTGGTGGACGCGTCTCAGAAGCTTGGCAGCCCAGTGGCATCCTCTTTTGACCCCCCAACTTGTTTTTGTTGGGCTCCAGGTGCCCCCTGTATGTTCAGTCGCCAACCCAAAAGTTGGGTTTAGGGTTTAGGGTTTAGGGTTTAGGGTTTAGGGTTTAGGGTTTAGGGTTTAGGGTTTAGGGTTTAGGGTTACAAGGTTCCTGTGTTCCTACGGTGACTGGGCTACCAAGGAAGGATGTCCAGACTCCCGTAGCACCGTCCCCTTCCAAGCCCTCCGTGCACGAGCTCGAGCTACTCGGCCACCGCAGCCCTAAACCCTAAAGCCTAAACCCTTGCTTATATATGTATACATGCATACATACATACATACATATACATATACATGTACATGTACATGTACATGTACATATACGTATACGTATACATATACATATGGATGTACATGTACATATACATATACACATGCATATACGTATACATCTACATACACACACATACATACATACATACATACATACATACATACATACATATATATATATATATATGCATATCTTTGTTTTCATTTTCATACTTTCCTTTATGTCGGGTTTAAGAGGATCACACTTGCTACTCGGCCCTTGGGATGTTTTTGACACCTGCCATATTCTTGGAAGAGGACATTCTTGTAGGAATGTTTCTCAGAGGTTTTCAAGGGCCCCTAACCCCTAAACCCTAAACCCTAAACCCTAAACCCTAGCAATCCGATAGTTTTAAGGGCCCACTTTCAGGATACCCCCCGAGCTGCCGGAACATCCGCAGCGTCGTTCAAGCGTCCGGCTCTCCGACCCCCTCCGGACCAATCTCAAGCCCAAGAGGGCGAGCTTTGCCACTTGGCCGACCTAAACCCTAAACCCTAAACCCTAAACCCTAAACCCTAAACCCTAAACCCTAAACCCTAAACCCTAAACCCTAAACCCTAAACCCTAAACCCTAAACCCTAAACCCTACACCCCGCAGAATCGGAGCCCTTGAACATCATCCCGGCAGCCCCCGGAAAGCCGGTTTGAGGCTTAGGGCTTTCAGGCGTTTTGGGTGTAAGGGTCTAGGTTTGGTAGGGTTTAGGGTTTAGGGTTTAGCGGCTTAGGGTTTAGGGTTTTGGGTTTAGGGGTTTAGGGGTTTAGGGGTTTAGGGGTTTAGGGGTTTAGGGGTTTAGGGGTTTAGGGGTTTAGGGGTTTAGGGGGTTTAGGGGTTTGGGGGGGTTTTTAGGGGTTTTTAGGGGTTTAGGGGTTTAGGGGTTTAGGGGTTTTTAGGGGTTTAGGGTTTAGGGGTTTAGGGGTTTAGGGGTTTAGGGGGGGTTTAGGGGTTTAGGGGTTTAATTCGGGGTTTAGTGGTTAAGGGGTTTAGGGGTTTAGTGGTTAAGGGGTTTAGGGGTTTAGGGGTTTAGTGGTTAAGGGGTTTAGGGGTTTAGGGGTTTAGGGGTTAATTAGGGGTTTAGTGGTTAAGGGGTTTAGGGGTTTAGGGGTTTAGGGGTTTAGTGGTTGAGGGGTTTAGGGGTTTAGGGGTTTAGGGGTTTAGGGGTTTAGGGGTTTAGGGGTTTAGGGGTTTTGGGGTTTTGGGGTTTTGGGGTTTTGGGGTTTTGGGGTTTTGGGGTTTTGGGGTTTAGGGGTTTAGGGGTTTAGGGGTTTAGGGTTTGGTAGGTTTAGTGTGTTAGGGCATAATACGGGGGCATCGTTTTTGAAAGCCCCGCAGACTGCAAGCCCAGACAGGAACTTACAGTAAAACTCCATATAGTTGGAGCATGGTTTAAGGACGGCTAGTGTCGAAAGTCCCTTTAGAGACCCTCCCGAAGGCATGAGGAGAATGATGTTCCAACTTGTGGGAGTTTACTTCGGAATCTTCCTCTTATACAAACAGTCCTTAATAGGGCTTATCATAGGGGGGGATACTATAATCCCTATGAAGGACTGTTAGTATCAGGGGGAACATCGCAATGTTTACTTCGAGGCTCATGGTACTTATGAACCACTTATAACTGTACTTATAACTGTACGAGGGTTTATAAGTATAGTTATAAGTACAGCTATAAGTGGTTAATGAGTACCATGAACCTCAAGTACTGGTATACAGACCGCCCTGACACCTGCCGGCCCAGGTCGCGCAGCCCCGCTCCTCGCGACGGACTTCTTTTGCAGACTCCAGAAACGAGAGGCCTGCCAAGCTCTGCAGAGTTTAGGGTTTAGGGTTTAGGGGTTCAGGGGTTTAGGGTTTAGGGGTTTAGGGGTTTAGGGGTTTAGGGGTTTAGGGGTTTAGGGGTTTAGGGGTTTAGGGGTTTAGGGGTTTAGGGGTTTAGGGTTTTGGGGTTTAGGGTTTAGGGTTTAGGGTTTAGGGTCACAGAACGGGCACAGAACTGCTTTGGTGAGGAAGAGGGTTTGGGAGCACCCTCGCCTCTCTGCAAGCCCTACTCGGAGTCGTGGGCACCTTCCTCAAACCCTGCTCATGTTATGGGGTCCTTAAGGGAGGGAGGTTCATGGGGTACCCTAAACCCTAACCCCTAAACCCTAAACCCTAAAGGGACGTGGGTTCGTGGGGTGTAGGGCGTAGGTGCCTCGGGAGCCTTAGGGAAGCTTATAGGGCGCCTCAGGGAGAAGTGGGGAGGATTGAGGAACCTCGGGGTTACGTACCTCTCTATAACTTACACGGTTTAGAGTTTAGGGTTTAGGGTTTAGGGTTTAGGGTGGGGGGGGGGGTCATGACGAGCTAGCCCTTCTGTCCGATGTGCCACTGCTTCGTGACATGTAGCGAGTGGCTCGGCTTCGCACCTGGCGACTGAGACAATGCTTTACAGGCGTTGCGGAGATAGCTTTATAGACCTTCAACCCTAAACCCCTAACCCTAAACCCGCCTAAACCCTAAACTCCAGCATTCAGGCCCTCTCACCCTTAGCGCCAGACTGCACACAGCAGGTCCGATTTCGAATCGGACGAGCTGCAAGTACTTCAGCACCGCGGAAATGCATCTCGACATGGGGGTGGATCTAAAGGTCCTTCTGGGACATTGTGTAGGGTTCCTATTGGTGTCAACATAGGGTAACTTGGGGCACAGCTATTCTGATCAACTCCCACATGGGAGCGATTTGGGGTTTAGGGTGCAGGGTTCGTGAAATCCCGTAGGCCCGAAGGCAAGCCCAAACCCCTGAGGCCCGATGCTCCCCCAAAAAACCCAAAAGCAAAGAGGCCTAGGCCCTGAACCCTGGACCTTGGACCCGAGACCCTCAAAGAAACCACCACACCAGGAGAGCCCTAAACCCTAAACCCTAAACGCCGTTTAAGCCCGAAGCACCTAAACCCCCAAGCCCGGAAACTCTGAACCCTGGTAGACCTTGGCCCTGAAATCGAAACTCTATAACCCTAAACCCTAAACCCTAAACCCTAAACCCTAAACCCTAAACCCTAAACCCTAAACCCTAAACCGCTTGAGCCCTAAGAAAGGTTTGCTTGGGGGTCGGGCTTCTTTGAGCCGGAAAGACTCGAAGCCCAAAAGCTTCCCAGGACAGCCAGAGGTCCTCCATCCGTTCCTCACTCTCCAGCGACCAAGCCGCCGCTCGAACAGGCTTCAATGCAGGCGCTTCGTTTGGGGTTTCGGGTTTTGGGTTTAGGGTTTCGGGTTTAGGGTTTAGGGTTTAGGGTTTAGGCTTTAGGGCCAGTTTAGGGTTTAGGGATCGAGTTTGCGTTTGAGTTGTTTACTGTTTTTGGTATGTAGCCCCAAGCCCTACAACCATTAAGACCCTAAAGTGTGGAGGGTTTTTCGGGTTTGGGACTCTTGGGGGGCCTCGGGGTTTGGGCTCTCAGCCACTTGAGTTGCGGTTTCGGGTTTAGGGTTTAGGGTTTAGAGTTTGGGCTCTAGGGTTGTTTTCCTTCAGCCCTGTCCCCCTGAACCTGAACCCCGAGAACCTACCCATCTCCCTTCTCCCTCCAGGGAGAGGGCGCCGGACACTCTTCTTCGACAAGTCGCCCGAGGTGCGGGTTTCGGACCGGGAAGGGTTGAGGGTTTGGGGTTTAGGGTTTAGGGTTTAGGGTTTAGGTTTTGGGGGTTTAGGGGTTTAGGGATTTCGGGTTGTTTAACTGCAGGAGTTTGCAGGACGAAGCTGCAGCCACGCCTTGTGCGGCGAAGGTTCTTCGAAGTTTGCTGTGGCCACCCCAAACCCTAAACCCTAAACCCTAAACCCTAAACCCTAAACCCCAGGCTGCTGTTGTTCTTGCAACATCTTCCAAGTTGCTCGGAAAGTGCAGCTGTGCTCAGACTAGCGGTCCCCACGAGTCGAAGACGGCAGGAGATGGAGGCAATGTTCCAAGAGGCACTCAATGAGGAGGAGGACGCCCGACTCTGATAAGAAACTTTAGGGTTTAGGGTTAAGGGTTTAGGGTTTAGGGTTTAGGGAGTAGTAACAGAAAAAAGCTTTCACGACATTGGTTAAGAGTTTGACATGCTCGTGCCAGAGAAAGAACTTTGCTAAGAAGCTAAGTTGTAGCAACCATGTATTCTCTTATTGGTCCCTTTGTAATTCTACTATAAGAACCCCAACACCCTAGTCTAACTATTCAGGCCCCTTTTGTAGTTGCTTGAAAAAGGCGGCGGTTTCTGTGCAAGGTGGCGGCACACCTGGGCGAGCGAGATCATGCCAACACCCTACAGACCAGCAAGTGCCAAAACCCTCGTCCCCAAACACCAAACCCATCCTAAACCCCCCAAAACCCGAATTAAGCCTCAAGACCCTAAACCCGAAACCCTAAACCCCAAACCCGGAACCCTACAAACCCCAACCCCTAAACCCTAAGACCGAAGCGCATCCCGAAGGAAGACGATGACAGTGAACCGGCCGTCACCATAAGCCGTCGCGCCTCGGTACGCTTGAGCATCGCCCCGTTTTTTTTTTTTTTTTTTTTTTGGGGGGGGGGGGGGGGGGGGCGTTAGGTTGGGATGTTCCCCCGTATACTAACAGTCCTTAAGAGGGATTGGAAGAAGAGGTACTACAATCCCTACTAAGGACTGCCAGTAGAAGGGGGAACATCCCAAGGGTAGGGTGAATAGTATTATTCAGGATAAGGCTGCCGGGTTGAGGGCTCAGGGTTTAGGATGTTGAAGGGCTTGGGGTCCATAAGGTTTACACTACTAAACCCTAAAAACCTGAAACCCTAAACCCTAAACATGTAGGGCTTAGGAGGGTACCTCAAGAGACCGCACAGTTTTGAGGCCCCGGCCATGTCTGGTGGGACCTTCGGGGGCTTCTGGGCTGAGCCTTAAAGGCCTCGAAAGAGGGTTTAGGGTTTAGGGTTTAGGGTTTACGAGTTGGGCGACATTGATCTGGGCTAGATCTAATCTAGACTCCGCCCAGTGGGAGCTCTGTGTCATCGAGAATGGAGAAACCCCATCACTCGGGGACATGCAAGGTGACCAAGCCCTGAGCCCGAAACAAATGTCGGCTGCGACCTTCACCAGTCTTGACAGCCTGTGCAGACAAAGAAGACTCCTGTACAGATAGCACCTCAATGCCCTAAGCCCTGTAAACTTATAGCTCCGAAACCCGCAAGCCCCAAACGCTACACCATCCTCTACCCTGGAATCTGGGTTTAGGGTTTAGGGTTTAGGGCTTAGGGCTTAGGGTTTAGGGTTTAGGGTTTAGGGTATAGGGTATAGGGTTTTTCAATGCAAGAACCTGCCCTTTCGTTCGATCGTTCGAGGCGACTGGCTTGGCGGATGGCTCGGGAGAAGCCGAGCAAAGCTGAAGCAGATGCTTGAAACAGCCGCCCGTCTTTCCTGCGCGTGCTGGGATTGAGATTTAGGGTTTGGGGTTTGGGGTTTAGGGTTGCCCACTACTACCCCTTCCTGATGAGCTGCTTCTCCCAAGCTTGTGCCTGCAAGGTCATATTTCTGGCCTCGGTTTAGGGTTTAGGGCTTACTGCTTCGCATCCTATTACAGCCCAAAAACACAAAAATCAAACCCCCCAAACAACGTTTAGGGTTTAAGGTTTAGGGCTGCCCCTCCCCCTCAACGACCTTGATTTGGGCTAAACCCCTAACCCTAAACCCCAAACCCTGAAGCCTAAACACCCAAACCCTGAATGTGTCAAGCTGAGGATGGCTTTGAGATGCTCATCTCCACCTGCATCCTCTGCAACGTGGTTGTCATGTGCTGCGTTGCGCGGCCTGGCTGCCAACCCTAAACCCTAAACCCTAAACCCTAAACCCTAAACCCTAAACCCTAAACCCTAAACCCTAAGCCCTAAACCCTAAACCCTAAACCCTAAACCCTAAACCCCTATGAGGGGGTGCTGCAGCCGCACATGCAGGAAGTCGCAAGTCCCCTGTGAGGCAGTACCGCGGCCTCGACATCGGCTACAATATCGTCTACCCTGGCATGACTCGAAAGGCAGAGGAGCTGTGGCCAGGCCAGGCTTTGGGGTTTAGGTTTAGGGTTTAGGGTTTAGGGTTTAGGGTTTAGGGTTCAGGGTTTAGGGTTTAGGGTTTAGGGTGTAGGGTTTAGGGTTGGGGCTTCCCTAAACCCTCAACCTTGTGTCTCAAAGAGCTTCAGGAGTTTAACAGGTTTGGGTCTTTGAGCCGTGCGTTTCGACCTGCGTCTTTCTTGTGGCTTTCGGGTGGCGCGGTTGGTGGTTTCGAGCTTCCTCGTTTGCATGGAATACCAGGGGTATATAAGGGGTACCCTTTTGAGGGCCCATATGAAGGCATATTAAGGGAGCATGTAACTACCCTAAGAAACGCGGCTGTTGCGTTTGTTGAATGTGGCTAGTGGCTGTTTCCAATGTTGACTTTGCAAAAAAAACGAACGGTCTTTGACCGTGATTTTCTAGTCCTGCGGCTGATCACTTCTGCCTTAGTGGTGCAAACGGGTTTCCACTATGCTTGCTGAATGTGTCTTTGATGGTGAATGTGTCTTCCGTGTTTGCTGAATGTAGATGTGCTGCTGAATGTCGCCGCCGACTTGCTACAATGTTGCTTTCGTGTATTTGAACTTCTCTCTTGAATGCGCTATTGCCCCTTCCCTTTCTGACAGGCCTGCCGCATGCCCTTCAGCACCTGGACACATTCTTCACGGTGATCTTCAGCTTGGAGCTACTGTTGCGGCTGCCCCTTGCATGGGAACCCCAAACCCCAAAGGCCTCCTAAAACCCAACGGCCTGAACCCTAAACCCTAAGCCCTAAACCCTAAACCCTAAACCCTAAACCCTAAACCCTAAACCCGTTGGGGTCTTCAGGGTTCTTGCTTTCAAGGGTGCTTCGTGCCGTGGCCGCAAGCACTGCGACCCTCGGGACCTTTTTAGAGGGCAGGCAATTTAGGGTTTAGGGCTCATGGCTGAGGGAAGTCTTGGATCTCTTGAGTTTAGGGATGTTTAGGGTTTGGGGTTAAAGGCTTAGGGGGGTCCAGGGGACAAGTTTGCGATTGTCCTTGGTGCAGGTTTTCTGAAACAATTTGAGCCGCGTAGTGGTGACAATGCTCGAATTGTGCCATAAGCATGCGTCAGCACATCTCCTCAAATGTCTGAACCCTGTGCCCTAACTAAACACCATAAACTCCCGAAGTGAAGTAGCCGGCTTCTCTTAATTCTACTGTTCCGCACCCCCCCCCCCCTGTGCCCTTCTAGCTGAGAAGCCCTTAACCTCATGGGCTTCCCTACTAGCCCCCCTTTCTATACTGCCCCCCCACCTTAATTAGGCTCAATTATCCCTTGGGGGGGGAACCAAGGGGGGTACGTAGTATAGAGGGGGGGGTAGTAGGGGAACCCATGACAACCAAGTAGGGGTTTGGGGTCGAGGGTTTCGGTTCAGGGTTGCGGTGACCTACCTGGAGGTTCATGGTAGTGAGAACGGTACTTAGAACTCTACTTATGAACCATATTAGGGCACTTGAAGGCTTATAAGTGGGTCATATGTACAGATATGATGTATCTTGTTAATAAGCTCTATGAACCTCCAAGTAGAAATTATCCTGTTTGTCCAGCGGGTCGCTCAGACACTCCGCCACCATTTCTTGGCTGGGGTTACATGCGAGAAGGGTTTAGGGTTTGAGTACCGTTGCCCTGAGACCCTGGAGCCAGAACCCCAAGCCCCAAACCTAAACCCTATAAACCCTGAAATTCTAAACCCTAAACCCTAAACCCTAAATCTTCAGGCCCCACAGCCTACGAGCCCCAAGGATCGTGTACCGGCTTGCCTTCTTCACGTTGGCTCTGTGCCATCCCCGCATTTGGGTTCTAGGGGCCTCTTTAGGGTTTCGGGTTTAGGGTTTAGGGAGTTGAGGGGGCGTGGTGTTTAGGGTTTAGGTTTTGGGGCTTTAGGGGCTTCAGGGGCTTCAGGGGCTTTGGGGTTTTTGGGGGTTCTAGGGCTTCTACTTTAGGGGCTTTGGGTGCTTTCGGGTTCTTAGGGGTTTTTGGGGCTTCTAGGGCTTCTACTGTAGGGACTTCAGGGGTTGCAGGTGCAGTCTGTACCCTGATGGCCATGAACCCCTACACCCTGGGGTTTAGGGTTTAGGGTTTAGGGTTTAGGGTTTAGGGTTTAGGGTTTAGGGACTGAACCGTAGCTGAGCGAGGATTGTTTGCGAGTTGAATCCATGGCCTGAAGAGTGCGAGGATGAAGGGCCCAAGTCCAGGGTTTTGGGGTTTTGGGGGTTTTGGGGGTTTTGGGGGTTTAGGGGGTTTAGGGTTTAGGGTTTAGGGTTTAGGGTTTCGGGTGGATTCACATGACATGCTGCCCCCCGCCACACCCTGGGGTGTAGCGAGCGCCATTTCCACATGGTATTTACTGCTGCTGCTTGGCGAGACACCCTAAACCCTAAACCCTAAGCCCTAAGCCCTAAGCCCTAAACCCTAAACCCTAAACCCTAAACCCTAAACCCTAAACCCTAAACCCTAAACCCTAAACCCTAAACCCAACAGGAACTGGCTAGACTTTTCGGTGGTCTTCTTCTCCCTCATAGAGCTGCTGGCCTCCTCCGTGCTCCTTGGCTGCTGCACCAGAGCTCCTGGAAGGGTCTTTGTTGGTAGAGGGCCTAAGGTTTAAGGTTTGGAGTGTAGGATATAGGGTTTCGGGCTTAGGGTTTAAGATTTGGGGTGTCGGATATAGAGCTTAGGGCCCTAGGTAAACCCTAAACCCTAAACCCTAACTAAACCCTAAACCCTCAACCCTAAACCCTAACTTCTAAAAAGGTAGCAGTATTGTGATACGGTTACTGGCCTAAGCTGCCAGGCCCGGCTCGTCGACCGCCCCTTGGTGGCAACCAGGCAGGCGTGTTGCGCAGGGCTGAGGGCTGCAGGGCGGTTTAGGTTTAGGGTTTGGGGTTTGGGGTTTAGGGTTTAGGGTTTAGGGTTTAGGGTTTGGAGTAGTAGCAACTGGGGCTTGAAGTAGGGTGACAGTAGTGAGAACTGGTTTTCGCCCTTTTGTAGGGGTAGGTAAACCCCCCTAAGTGCCAATTAAACCCTGAACCCTGGAACCCTAAACCTTGAACCCCGGATTTGGTCACAGTTTTCGGGCATGAAGCACACGATTTTGGGTGCGCGGGCCCGGCTAGCTAGCTCTGAGATCGTTCAGGGATAGCCCTAAACCCTAAACCCTAAACTGGCCCTAAACCCTAAGCCCTAAAACCCTAAACCTCCTCGGCCAAGGTCCTGCGACTGGTGCGCCTGGCGAAGCTTGCGCGCGGGCTGCGGGTGGTTCGCATGGCCAGGGTTATGGACTCGCTTCACCTGCTGCCCCTCGCACTTTGTTGACATGCACAGGGTTTAGGGTTCCGGGCATGTACACCTACATATGCTGCACAGTCGTCGCATGGCTCCAAAAAAGAGAAAGTGAACGAGGTGGATCCCAATCTGGGCAATGTTGCACTCAGATATGGTTCCATAAAACCAAGTTCTCTCAACTCACCGGTGCCTTGCCAAATGCAACGGGCCCAGTGAAGCAGCGGGAACATGAGCACGTTTTGGCCCCTTCAAGGGAAATTTGGCCAAGGACGTCCGAAACCCTAAATCCCTCAGAGCCCTACAAACCCTAAACTCCCTGAACTCCCTGAACCTTGCTTGTGAGGCTGAAGAGTATCGGTGCAAGCTTCTCAATGCTACTTTGGTCCATGCTGCTCATTGGCGTCATTCAGTGCACCGCCGGCCGCGCGGAAGCAGCGAGACCAGGGGTTGAGGGTTTAGGGTTTAGGGTTTAGGGTTCAGAGTTCAGGGTTTAGGGTTTAGGGTTTAGGGCAAGCGCTTCGATGGCTTGTTGAGAGGGTGCAAGGGCCCAGTTTTCAGGGTTCGAGTTTCGAGGGGTTTTTAGGGTTTTAGGTTTTGGCTTTTTGGGGGGTTTTGGGTGGGGTCTAGGGCCTAGGGGTCTAGGGTTTGGGGTCTAGGGTTTGGACCATCAGTTTGCGCCCCCAAGCAGGCATGATCATCGGATATCTGGTCATGGACCACCTGGAACAAGACACTTCCCAGCCGGAGGAAGTGCGGCACCTGATCTACAGGCGGGGAAGACTCAAACTCACCCTAAACCCCATAAAGTCTATAAACCCCCTAAACCCAATGAACCCTGTAAACCCTGTAAATCCTGTAAACCCTACAAACCCGGTAAACCTATAAACCATATAAACTCTATGAACCCTGTAAGCCCTTGCTGAAGCCTCGGAAGGATCTTACTGGGTTCTTAGAAGGGACGGAGGTACCTTATATCCCTCTGTAGAGCTTACGGTTTAGGTTTAGTGGTTAGGGAGCTCTTCGGGTTAAGGGTTGAGGGTTAGGGTTTAGGTTTTGCCTTGCCTACTTTGGAGAGGTATTACGGCACGTTCACCTACACCATCTTGACCATGTTTGCCTCTTGGTCGCCGGTGCAAGTTCCCGAATGTTTGCTGCCCAGCACGCAGTTTTTGCCTAAACCTTGAGGGGCCATGGACGTGTGGAATGAAATCCCTAATCCCTAAACCCTAAACCCTAAACCCTAAACAAACCTGAGGAAGTGATTTTTGCCAACTGGCCGATTCCCTGCCGCATCCTCGTGGATCACGTGGATGAGTGGTACCTGGGTCGTGCTTTGGGATATCTTTTAGGGGTTTAGAGGGTTTAGGGTTGCTTTCCTTGTAAGGGAACCTGTTCATACATAATTGTCAAAGTGTTTAAGCACAACCAAGGTACTCCATGTTCTTTATTATCTACCGCTGCGTGGTGGGACTTTTGGTGGCACAAGGGTTCAGAGTTTGGGGTCTAGGGTTCAGGGTTTAAGGTTCAGGGTTTAGGGTTTAGGGTTTGGGGTTTAGGGTTCAGGGTTTTGGGTTTAGGGCATAGAGTAGTTCAGGGTTCACGGTTTAGGGCTTCTTTTCCATGCCATCCCCTCAGAAGCCCTGAGTGAGTGCCAAGGCCCCTTCGCGTTCACTAGGCCTCCTTCCATTAGAATCTACCCCTAAACCCTAAACCCTAAACCCTAAACCCTAAATCCTAAACCCTAGACCCTAAACCCTAAACCCTAAACCCTAGACCCTAGACCTTGTAAACCCTAAACCCGAAAACCCCTGAACCCCAAACAGGCTTCTGCGTGCTCAACGTCCGGATCTCAGAGCCGCGCAGTCCCAGAGCAGATGGACCTCACTGGGCTTCGGGGGGTCTGTTAAGGGTTTAAGGTTTAGGGTTTAGGGTTTAGGGTTTAGGGTTTAGGGCTAGGGCTTAGGGTTTTGGGAGCCATTCAGGGCTTAGGATTTTTTAGGGTCCAGGGAGTTAGGGTTTAAGGATTTTGGGTTTAGGGCTCAGGGATTTTGAGGGTTTTTGGGTTAAGCTCTTGGGTTTTCGGGTTTACCTTTCAGGGCTTTAGGGTTTCCTGGTTCAAGGGTTTTGAGGGCTTTGGGTTTCCAAGCTACAGTGTGAAATGTGAGGTGGTTGGTGCTGTCTTCGTTCAGCAAACGATGCTGCTTGGCAGAAAGGGAAACTTTTCGCAGCAAAGTCCAGGGCGTCACTTACTCTGTAGTCTCCGACTTTTCCTAAGCCCTAAACAGGAAATCCTAAACTTCAACAGCCCGAAACGACCCTAAACCCGAAAACGACCCTAAACCCTCAACCCCTTGACCCCTAAACCTTAAGTTGAAAGCCCTGAGGAAGCTGGCAGCAGATGACCATGATCTCTTCATGCAGCAGCAGACCCGCGCTGCTGAAGCATACACGCGAAAGATCAAAGATGTGCGGCTCAGCTGCGCTTTTGCCCACTTGAGGCTTCAGGGCTTGGGATGTTCCCCCTTTATGCTAACAGTCCATAGTAGGGGTTATAATATTGGGTACTACAATCCCAAATAAGGACTCTTAGTATAACTTGGAACATCCCAAGCTTAGGGCTTAGGGTATTCTGCAATGTCAATGTCAGTTCTGGTTGCTGCTGCGCGCTTCTGGAAGTTCTGCTTGTTAAGAGCCATCAACAAGTAACTACCCCAAACCCGAAATCCTAAACCCTAAAGCCTAAACCCTAAACCCCCGAAACCCTAAACCCTTCGCTCCCAGGTTTACGAAGCTGGACATGTCGGGCGTTGGCCCCAGTTGTTTTGCGGAAGCTGGTTGGGGAGCTCAAAATAGTGGCTGGGGTTTGGGGTTTAGGGTTTGGGGTTTAGGGTTTAGGGTTTAGGGTTTAGGGTGGTTACCTGACTAGGGCACCTTGGCTTCAGTTCGCGCAGCAGATGCCAGCTGTCGAGCCCAGGCGAGGGCTACATCTACATGGAGGACCTACTTGGAGGTTCATGGTACTTACCTAAACCCTAAACCCTAAACCCTAAACCCTAAACCCTAAACCCTAAACCCTAAACCCTAAACCCTAAACCCTAAACCCTAAACCCTAAACCCTAAACCCTAAACCCTAAACCCTAAACCCTAAACCCTAAACCCTAAACCCTAAACCCTAAACCCTAAACCCTAAACCCTAAACCCTAAACCCTAAACCCTAACCCTGAAACCCTTAACCTGTACTTATAACTGTACTTATAGCCCTCTTAGGGCACTGAAGGGGCTTATAAGTGGGTTATAAGTATAGGTGTAAGCATAGCGGACCTTTCTCATGGGAGTCTACCTCGGAGCCCTTTGGGTTTGGACCCTTTTTACAGATACCTCTAAGGGAAGTATAAGGGCCATATTAGGAGAATATTACGGGAACCTCGTAGGGGTACATCCGTAGGGGTCCCAGTATGACTCCCTTGATTATCGTTGAACCATGTTGAGTTGAACCTCTTGTGAGAGCCCGAGACTTTGTGAGCCCTTAAACCGCAAGCCTGAAGCACCAACACCTAGCTAAGAATGAGGGTTTCGGGTTTAGGGTTTAGGGTTTAGGGCCAAGTTTAGGGTTTCGGGTCATAGGCAACCCCAGGAGTTTGTGGAGATCCTCAACACCCCGACGATGCGCCTGGGCTGCACGCCGACGCTGTGGAGAGACCTAGAAACCCGACCCCCGGAATCCCTAAACTCCCTACATCAACTTGTATGAAGGGTTTAGGGTTTAGGGTTTGGAGGTTTGGAGTGGAGAGTCCCTAAACCCTAGGGCTTAGGGTTTAGGGACTCTCAACTCCAAACCTCCAAACCCTAAGCCCTAAACCCTAAACCCTAAACCCTAAACCCTTAAACCCTTAAACCCTTAAACCCTAAACCCTAAACCCTAAACCCTAAACCCTAAACCCTAAACCCCAAACCCTAAACCCTAAACCCTAAACCCTAAACCCTAAACCCTAAACCCTAAACCCTAAACCCTAAACCCTAAACCCTAAACCCTAAACCCTACCCCCCCCCCCCCCCCCCCCCCCCAGGTCGCATTTCATGGCGAAGCTGGAGCTGGAGTCGACGGACCGCCGGCCGTTTTTCGCGCGAGCGTGGCCTTCTAGCACTCGTTTTTGTGTTTTTTTGTTGTTTTGGTTTCTTTGTTTTTTTTTTTTTGGGGGGGGGGTTAGGGTTTAGGGTTTGGGGTTTGGGGTTTGGGGTTTGGGGCTTGGGGCTTGGGGCTTGGGGCTTGGGGCTTGGGGCTTGGGGCTTGGGGTTTGGGGTTTGTTAATGCTTTTTAGGGGTTAGGTTTTCCAGGGCTTGGGCGTCTAGGATGTTTATTGTGGGGGAGGGTGAGGGGTCGGGGGGAGGGCGGGGGGTGGGGGTGGGGGGTTGCTTTGGGGTTTAAGGGCTTTGGGGTTTTGGATTTATTTGAGGGTTGTGGCGGTGTTGTTGCTTAGGGTTTTGGGGTAAGTACACGGTTTGGGTGTGTGGGGCTGGGGTTCTGGAGGTTTGGGGTGTTGCGGGCTATGTGGCTTAGAGCTTTGGAGGGTGTAGGGTTTTAGGGCTGTAGGGTTTAGGAGCGTTGGTGCCTAGGTGCGAAAGACATTCCATTCCGTAAGCCCTACAAGCCCTATAATAAACCCTAAACCCCTCAAGCTGAGCACGTTGAGTTCTGCTGGGCATCTACACCCTAAGCCCTTAAATGCAGGACCTGCTCAGCTTGTTCAAGCTCATCGATGTCGACGACAGTGGGCAGGCCGTTGGCCTACTCCTCAAATATCCGAAACCCCAAACTCCCTAAGTTCACTGAATTCCCTAGACTCGCCTGAAGCCCTAAAGCCCTAAAGCCCTAAAGCCCTAAGTTCCCTAAGTTCACGAAATTCCCTAGACCCGCCTGCAGCCCTAAAGCCCGAAGTTCCCTAAGTTCACTGAATTCCCTAGACTCGCCCTAAAGCCCTAAAGCCCTGAAGCCCTGAAGCCCTGAAACCCTATACCGTCAGCCCAGCTCTACACCCTGAATCCGAGAGCCAATGACTAGGTTCGAGGCTCTTGCTGGCACATCGTTGGATCAAGAAACCAGACCCCTTGCCTGGGACCCTCTTTTTTTAGGTGAGCTGAGTAATTGGGCTTCTTAAAAGAACGCCATGCTCTTAAAACAATCCAGCACGAATATCGAACTTGGGGCGGAGGGGGGGGGGGGGGGGGGGGCTTTCGGCGTTAGGGGCTTAGGGGTGCCAGCTAGATCCTGAACCCCGAAGAATACAAACCCCGAACCCGTTAAGCCTCCCAAACCCCTGGGCGAACCCGAATCTCGACCGTTTTGGGGTTTAAGGTTTCGGGGTTGGCTTTGATCAAAGGGGGTCAGGAATTGCAAGCCGAATCGGTTCGAAGAACCGTTGAAATGCCCTAAGCCCTAAACTCTAAACCCTAAACCCTAAAACCTAAACCCTAAACCCTAAACCCTAAACCCCAAACCCTAAACCCTAAACCCTACGAGGTCTCCTTGGAAGACTTCATGACCGGCTGCCAGCGGCTGAAGGGCCCTGCCAAGAGCCGGGGGCTCTGAAGTTGGTTTAGGGGCCTAGGGGGCTTAGGGGCCGGGGACGCGGCGCCGCGTCCGCGGGGCGGCCCTGGCGTTCCGGGTTCCGAGGTCAAGGGCGCCTTAGGGCCTAGGGTTTGGGGTTTAGGGGTTTAGGGTTTAGGGTTTAGGGGCTATAGGGTTGAGGGTTCAGGGTTTAGGGTTTAGGGGCTATAGGGTTTAGCGGCTATAGGGTATAGGGGCTATAGGGTTTAGGGTTTTGGGGTTGAGGGGCTTAGGGGGCTCAGGAGGGGCTTAGGGGCTACAGGGTTTGTGTTCGGGGTGTTTTTTTTTTTTTTTGGGGGGGGGGGGGGGTGGGGTTGGGCGGAGAGTTGGGGAGTTTTTTTTTTCTCTCGTTGCTGCTTTGTGTCGGGACTGTTGCCGGTCTTTGTCGGGCTTAGTTTTGTCTTCGTTTGCCGTGGCGATATCCCAAAGCTTTGTTGGAGGCTAACCTCTGAGGAATTGATGAGTTCTTGTAGCCCATCGAAAATTGCAAGTTCTGAGTTTCGGGGGGGAGGTTTAGGGTGTAGGGTTGAGGGGCTTGGCGGCTTAGGGCTTAGGGGCTTAGGGGTTCAAGCTGGTCAGAGATTCGGGTTTAAGGCTTAAGTTCTAGGGGCCCAAGCCCGCACTCTTTTTTTATCATATTTTTTATGTTTTCGGGAGGGGGTTTTTAATTCATATATAAATATATAATATAATATAATATAATATAATATAATATAATATAATATAATATAATATAATATAATATAATATAATATATATATATATATATAATATACACCGAAACATATATTTTTCATTTAATTATATTGTTTTGTTTTTTTGGGGGGGGTTCTGTTTGCCGGGAGGTTCGGCCGTTCTGGTGGGGTGATACAGGGGGGCTTTTGATTGTTGAAAACTTCCACCTCCTCATGTTGGCATGTGGATGTCTCGGTGGGCATCAGGAAACCCTAAACCCTAAGCCCTAAACCCTAAACCCTAAACCCTGAACCCTAAACCCTAAACCCTAAACCCTGTGTTGGGGTGAGGATCCCCTAGCAGGCCACTGAAAGCAGGAACAGGCGGGGCGCCTCTTTAACCCTAAACCCTAAACCCTAAACCCTAAACCCTAGGTTGCTGGGGAATTCCAGGCTAAGGTTGAGAGCCTACATCCTAGACCCTAAACCCCAAACCGTAAACCCTAAACCCTCACAGGCTTTGTGCGCCTTCGGGAAGCCCCCAAACCCCAAAGAGTCCGAAGACCCTGAATCCTGTAGCCCTAATCTTGGGGAAGTAACCCTAAACCCTAAACCCTAAACCCTAAACCCTAAACCCTAAACCCTTCTAGGAAACGATCCCGCATGAGGTGTGGACCTTGCGTTGCTGCTAGCCCACACGGCCCGGCTCAACTGCAAAGTTGACAACGTCCTCAATTTGGTCGGCGGAGAGGTAGGGTTTAGGGTTTAGGGTTTAGGGTGTTCGGGGGTAGGGTTAGGCTGCGTTACGTGTCTCCGTTGCAATACTTGTACTACTCGCATTACTTATGTTATTTGCAGCACTAGCTGTGTTACGCGCACTGATTACCTGAAGCTTCTTTGGCATGCTGCAAGGCCTTGCTAGCAAGCTCTGAAGCAGTTACAGTCTCCGGGCCTCAAACCCCTTGCAAGCTCTACCCTGCAGTCTCTTTAACTAGTGTCCAGAGCAAGCCCTTGTTCCCTTTTTGGGTGTTTATGTTACCTTAGCAGCCTTAGCCCCATTTACACCCAACAAACAGGCCACCCTTTGTATTCCTAGGTTACGATTGCAGAACGGCGCATAGGATACGGAACCCGGGCATATAAAGAACACAAAAACCAAAACAACGACAAAGAAAAGTATCTATTTCTATATATATATATACGTGTGTATACATATATATATATATACATAGTGCATACATACATACATATACATAGAAATAAATATATATGTATATATATATATATCTATATATATATATATATATGTATAGGAAGAGGGGCCTCCTCCCTCACCTTCAGCCATGGTCTGCATTTGTCCGGTGGGCGCGCTGAGAGTGGAGCCTGTCCAGTATGTGAGCCCTGATTGTTACATATCATATAGCTGCCAAGCGACCCTGAACCCCACAATCTGAACCCATAAGCCCTTAAATCACCCCCCCCCCCCCCGCCCCGCCCTCGCCCTTCATCCTGCGAGCCCTGACCCCAACCCTGCTAAATCCTAAACCCTAAACCCAACCCTAAACCCTAAACCCTGAACCCTGAACCCTAAACCCCTAACAGGCCGGCATGGAAGACTGGGGATATGGAGCTGCCGGAGATGTCAAGTTGGAGCAGCGCTTTCTTCGCTCGGCATCAATGATCAGGCTGGCTCCTTGTCGGGGTCCTGATCATCAAGCCGTGGAGTTAGGGTTTAGGGTTTAGGGTTTCGGCCGGTTTAGGCCGGTTAAGGGTTTAGGGTTTACGGTTTAGGTTTAGGGATTAGGGTTTGAGGTCCCTAAACCCTAAACCCTAAACCCTAAATCCTAGACCCTGCATGGCTGTCGCCGTTGTCCTGCAGGGGATCTACTCATGCGCGCGACACGCGGTCCACAACGTCGATGGATTCCCTTGTCCCGACAGTCCCGGGCGCTGTGAGCGACCGACCGGCAGCCTGAACTACCCCCCCCTAGAACTCGAAAGTTTAGGTTTAGGGATTAGGGTGTAGGGATACCAAATATCTCCCAACAAGGGCTTCGTTCGGGTTTAGGGTTTAGGGGTTAAGTGGCTGACGGGCAGGGCTCGGTGCAAGAGAGCAGGAATGACTTGATTTGTAGATCTGCATCTGTGGGCAGAATTCAGGCATGTCGCCTGCAACTGCACAGATGGTACTTCGGCGGCAGAGGGTTTGTGGTTTCAGGGAATAGGGTTTTAGGGAAAGTTTAGGGTTTAGGGTTTAGGGTTTAGGGTTTAGGGTTTAGGGTTTAGGGTCCTAAACCCCCTTGCAGCAGTGGATGGTCTCAACACTGCCGCCGTGTCTGTCTGTGCTTAATCAAGGGAAGTAGGAGTTCTTTTCCAAGACCTGGGCAGCCTAGTGTTCTTTAGGGTTTCGCGTTTAGGGTTTAGGGTTTAGGGTTTAGGGTTTAGGTTTTAGGGTTTAGGGTTCCTTTAGAAGAAAAGCTACCAACACCCAAAAGGGCGGCCTTACTTTGGAAAAAATACTTACTGGGCTGCCAAGGTAATTCGCTGATGCAGCTTGCAGCGTCTGCAGCACGCAAAGCGTGTCAGACCAATGTTCTGATCCCATAAAACCCCTACTCCCCACTCCCCCTGAACACCGGCGTCCCCAAAGGCCAATGGGGTTTAGGGTTTAGGCTGTTTAGGGTTTACGCTGATTACGGTTTAGTGTTTAGGGTTTTGCTCGCGAAAAACCCTAGAACTAGCAAGAAAACCCTACTTGGAGGGTCATGGGTACTTAGAAGTAAGGTTACAAGTAAGGTAACTATGGTTATCACCCTACTCAGGGCACGTATAACCCCACTTCTAAGTACCCATGAACCTTCTCACCCTAAACCCTAAAACCTAAACCCTTACTGTAACCCTAAACCCTCAAACCTAAACCCTAAACCCAAGATTCGCCGGCTGAGGCCTCTCTCTCTCATCCTTCTCAGCTTGGGGGCCGAGCCGCGCCCTCCACGAATTCGGTTGCACCTGGGCTCCCTCTTCTCGCGTGCGTGAAGCAGGCAAAGGCCCCTCTGAAGGAGCTTAAGCCCCTAAACCCTAAACCCCAAACCCTAAACCCTAAACCCCAAACCCTAAACCCTAAACCCTAAAGCCAGAGCCCGCACCCCTAAAGGTGTAAGGATTAAAAACCCTAAGCCCTCAACCCCACTGTTGAGGCGTCTAACACCCGAAGCCCCTAGACCTAAACCCTACGAACCCCACAAACCTACAAGGCCTACAAACCCGAAACCAACCCCTAGACCTTGTAAACCCAAGCCCTGCAACCCCTTACAAACCCGACACCAACCCCTAAACTCTGAACCCCCCCCAACAAAGCCCAAGCCCTACAACCTAAACCCTTAAGCCTAATCCCTACAACCCTCTACAAACCCTACGGACCCCAAATCCTACAAACCCTACCCCTAAGCCCTAAGCCCTAAACCCTAATCCTAAACCCTAAACCTAAACCCTAAACCCTATACCCTATACCCTATACCCTATAAGCCCTAAACCCTAAGCTGCCGCACGTGCGAGGGACCCGGGGGCCGCCCTCGCCCCTCCCGCAAGGCTTCTTAAAGCCATAGGATTTGTAGGGTTTTGGGGTTTAGGGTTTAGGGTTTAGGGTTTAGGGTTTTAGGGTTTAGGGTTATATGGTTTGGGTTTTAGGGTTTTAGGGTTTTAGGGTTTTAGGGTTTTAGGGTTTGGGGTTTAGGGTTAGGGTTTTAGGGTTTCAGGATTTAGGTTTGGGCTTGTTAAAGACTTAGGGTTTTATTGGGTTTTGTATTTTACCTGATCTCATTTTCTCTTTTGTTTTGGGGATATGAAGGACTTAGGATTTAGGGTTTCGGGTTTAGGGATCTGGGGTTTAGGGTTTAGGGTTCAGCGCTACAAGGTTCAGGATTAGGGGTTAAGTAGCTTCGCAAGGTTTCGGGGTCAGAAGGCTCTTCCATTGTTCGGTATTTCAACATTCCGGAATACTGATTACTGCGGGTACCTGGGAGAGGGCATTGCGTAGGGTTTAGGCTTCGGGTTCATCTCTACAGTCTATGACACCTAACATTCCTAAACCCTAAACCCTAAACCCTAAACCCTAAACCCTAAACCCTAAACCCTAAACCCTAAACCCTAAACCCTAAACCCTAAACCCTAAACCCATACTTTGGGAAGCCTGCGCAGCAACGAGTGTTTGCCTTGCGTGGCCGCAGGGACATGGTCCTGGGAGGGAGACTCCTCCCCTGCCTTGGGGAACAGATGAACCCTGAGACTAACCCTATGCCACTGGAACCCCAAATGCAATTAGGGTTTAGGGTTTAGGGTTTAGGGTTTAGGGTTTAGGGTTTAGGGTTTAGGGTTTAGGGTTAGGTAGCAGAAACCGAAGGCAGGGTTCATTTGGACCACCTCCGGGAAATGGCTAGTGGGCGTGAACTAGATGGGCCCTTTGCAGACTACACTCTCCCTTCACTCTAGACCCTGAACCCTAAAGCAAGAACATCTTCAGGGGGCTTAGAGAGCCCGTAACATCCCCAGGCTCGAAAGACGCCAGCCAGTTCCCGCACAATTTTGTCGACGGCCACCGTTGTCAGGGACGTTTTTAGGGCCATTTTACCCACAGGGTCCATGTACCTATATCGTATTTACTTGGCCTGAAAGGGGGTTCTTTTTACGATAGGTACATGGATCCCTGGGGTTCGTGCATCGGACGACCTTGGTCATGGCAGAAAAAACACGCCGCTCCTGAGAACAAGAAGAGTGCGCAAATCTACCTCCAAGAGCATCCGGTTTCCTGGATGATAGTATATAGTGAGTTCTCAAGCTGATGGTCCTGTATTTGGGGGAACTGAAGGGGACCCACCCTGCAGAAGTCGTTTAGGGTTGAGGGTTGAGGGTTGGGGTGTGAGGGTTTAAACTAAGACTTCAGTATCAAGCTACTCCCATCGCTGAGGTCTCCGCAAACAAGTGGCTGCAGTACCTCGTGAAGTCCTTGCCTTATTTTGGGCTCAGGGTTCGGCAGTTAACCAATTCAGGGTTTAACCCTGAACCCTAAACCCGAAATCCTAAACCCTTACCTCCGACACCTAATAAGTAGCAGGCTTTGGCTTTCAACCAAATGGGGCCGTGGGCCCACAGTAGCCCCTTTAAGCAAAAAGACACTTAGGTGAAAGGGTTGGTTTAGGGTTTAGGGTTTTAGGGTTTAAGGGTTCTAGGGTTTTTGGGTTTAGGGTTTAGGGTTTAGGGATTTAGGGTTTAGGGCTTAGGGTTAGGGAATCTGATTCCTTGTGTGCCGAAGTTGAAGGTTTGGGGTTTAGGGTTAATGGCCGGGTTATTTAGGGTTTTTTAGGGTTCAGGGTTTGGGGCTTGGGGTTTTGGGCGTGGGGTGGTTTAGGGTTTTCGGGTTTCCGTTTCAGCCGTGAGCAGGATCAAGACCCAGATAGCAGGATTGAGAGCTTGGGTTTCCTTCTGCGTCTTCTACAACCCAAGGGGGAATAGATGAAATAAGCATCGATGATGTAAGGGTTTAGGGTTTAGGGTTTAGGGTTTAGGGTTCAGCGGAATACTGTTTGTTTTTTTTTTATAAAGGTTTCATTTGGGAGCCTTGCAGGTGCGGCCAAAGACCCTCGCAGTCCGTCGAGACGTGCCCGTGGCGCGTATTGAGCGGTTGAACGGTCCGATGGTCCCTAACCCTAAACCCGAAACCCTAAACCCTAAACCCTAAACCCTAAACCCTAAACCCTAAACCCTAAACCCTAAACCCCCCCCCCCCCCCCCCAAACCATGCTGTGGCTGCCATGACAGGTGGGACATGGTGCGTGCGGCGACGCCGAAGGAGATCCTGCCCAGGTCTCAGATCACCCGCGAGCATGAGGGAATGCAGAGACGGTTTAGGGTTCAGGGTTTAGGGTTTAGGGTTTAGGGTTTAGGGTTTGGATTCTCTAGAGCCCATGGCGGTATGAGAACTCAGAGAGAAAACTTGCAGTGCCTTATGGAAACCCAGGGACACCGCACATTTGCTGCGACACCTCTTTCAGGCTCTACGGTTCACCCCCCCTCCCTTTCCCCCCGCTCCTAGACGCTACTAGCGACCGGAGCAGACAGACCATCATCTGGAAGATGGTGTACATGACCAGTAAATTCGGATTGCGAAGTCAAGCATTCGACGGCACATTACCCCAACTCGCAAACCCTGAGCACAGCCCAAAACAAGCCCTGAAAACCTTCAAGTCCTTCCGTCCCCCAAAGCCGACAGCCTTGAAACCTGACGTGGCTTCCTCTTGAGTATTGGTGGGCGTAAGAATATATATATATATATATACATATTATTATTATACATACACATATTTATGTACTGTAAACGCATATTACATGTATAATATGGGGGGGTCTTTTGGAGATACGAACTGGTAAAGAGTCTTAAGCCCCATAAGCCCGAAACCGTAAACCCAAACAAACCTTCCACCAACCCGCCCCAACCCTAGCCCTAAACCCTAAACCCTAAACCCTAAACCCTAAACCCTAAACCCTAAACCCTAAACCCTAAACCCCGCCCACAAGGCCTGCAAGGCTCTATTGCGAGGAGCCATCAGAGCGCCCATTTGGTTCGCCAGAGGCACGCGGGTGGTGGGGTTCAGGGTTTAGGGTTTAGGGTTTAGGGTTTGGGGTTTAGGGTTTAGGGTTTAGGATTAGGGTTTAGGGTTTGGGGTTTGGGGTTTAGGGTTTAGGATTAGGGTTTGGGGTTTAGGGTTTGGGGTTTAAGGGTTTAGGATTAGGGTTTGGGGTTTAGGGTTTGGGGTTTAAGGGTTTAGGATTAGGGTTTGGGGCTTAGGGTTTGGGGTTTAGGGTTTAGGATGAGGGTTTGGGGCTTAGGGTCTGGGGTTTAGGGTTTAGGCTTTAGGGTTTGGGGCTAGGGTTTGGGGTTTAGGGTTTAGGGTGCGCGCAGTAGTTGGGGGAGAGGGTGGGG